CTAGGCCATTTTTGGCCTTCATTGTCAATCATAAAAGGGCTTCCTCCCATGAAGCCAATTTAACTTGAAGCGACATCAATCGGACAGTTTCGCGGGGGAAAAAGTCTTAACGTCTCGCATTCGTTTCGGTTTCTTCCGATCCTTCGTTTACAATTTTCTCAAAAGTGCGTGATTGTGATGGAGAGATCAGGTTTGGTTTTAAATTGAGCGGCACGGATTGTCTGTTACCCGTGTATGGTTGCTTAGCAGTTCTGGTTCAAGTTGAAGCTGATCATAAGGGATTGCAGACTTGAAAAGCGACAAATTTTCCCTGAAAAATACAATGCCGAGGGGTTAATGAGAGGCTTGTGACGCACATTGCGCGGAAAATTAGCCGGATCAGCCAATTAACATCTGTATTTCATAACGAAAACTTTGAGTCGTCCTACCACCTGTTAAGCGCAATTTTTTTTTTCAATTTCAGGTGTCCGAGATATTCATGCCAGACTTCAGTCTGCTGAACTTCGATTCGGACGTCGCTCTCCTGAAGATGGAGGTCCCGGCGCTGCTCACCTCGCAGGTCCAGCTGGTCTGCCTCCCGGCCCGGTTCGACGACTCCAAGCTCGAAAACGGGACGAGAGGATGGGTGAGACGCCTTCGTTTCCCTGCGTGAACGGGGAGGCTCTCTCTCTCTCTCTCGTGAAACCTGGCTATTTTCACGAAACAAGAGTATTTTCCTGAAAACAGGCTATTTTCATGAAGCCAATCTATTTTCATGAAACTGCGCTATATTCAGTGCGAACATTGATCGTTTCCGATGTTCGGTGGCAGGTGGCTGGCTGGGGCCTGAACGGCTCCAATAAGCGAGACGCCACCCTGACCCAAGTGGAGCTCCCGGTTATATCGAACAAAGACTGCAGCCGAGAAATGATCATCGTGTCCCGAGACCACCCAATGACTCTCAACTAGAAAATGTTCTGCGCCGGGAACGATCAAGATACTCCCGTCGAAGGTGAGGCACCATCCGGCGAACCGGCTCGACCCAGGGTGGCCACTCAAGGGTGTTCTGGATCATGCGCTGATCGATTAGATTGGTTAAAAAGGCGTCTTGTGTATTTTATGCCTCAAGAGACCCTTGCGATCTTGTTCTTAGAGGCTAGTTTCTATGCAAGTTTTTTTTTTTTGCTTTTATTTGGGATAAGAGATTCTTTAGACCAAATTTTCCCTATTTTGGAATATTAATATGTCCACCAATTAAAATTGTTCTCATTACCGACCATCATCAACCAAGCTGCCTCAGCACGAGAAAATAATATGGCTTTGAAATGAACATTATTTTTTTTTCATATGGAAAGGTTCAGGTAAGAAATGGAATCCAATACGATGTGATTCAGTACGGATACGGTACATCGGCACGGCTCAATAAATATGAATCCCATCCTGAAAGAATCGCCAAAAGCTTTCCCGAATCAGCTGCGATAAAATCCACTGACAGGGGGGAAACCAGGTGTGTCGCAAAACAGAGTACCAAACAGTGTGCCGCCGGGACTCGGGCAGCCAAATGGTCTTCCCGTCGCACCCATCGCTGGAGAGCCGCTGGTCGGTGGAGGGCATCGTGAGCCACTTCTTAAGCAAGGAGGAATGCTCGGCGAGGCAACCCGGCCAATACAGCGTATTCACCCGGGTCAATCGGTGCGTGCTGCCCCTCGCGTCTCCATTCGCACTCATCATGCTTATCAGAATATTCTTTTGCCATCGCCAGGCTCGTTCCGTGGATCGAAGAGACGATGTGGAAGAACACTCGATGATGACTTCTGAAGACTTGATGAAGACTTCCTCATTGACGACTCCAACCATTGCTCCCTCTTCATTTGCGTATTGCTGATCTCGGCCATTTATTGTCAGATTTCACGGTTCCGATTGGCATCATGTGCGGCCCACAAGCTACTCACATCTGATGAAACTCGGAAATCACTGTCGGCTCTTTGGTGGCAGGCGACCGAAAAGGCAGCCCTTTGCCCTTCGAGTGAGATTAGCAGGATCTGGCTATATAAGTCTGAAGGGCGCCGTTTTCGGTGTTGACCATTTTCGCTAGAGTTTTTTTTTTTGCATTATCCAATACCAGGGGAAAACTCGCACAAACCATAATTTTTTTTGGTAAAATCGCTTGAGGAACGTTCGCGGATTCAGCAGAACCGGCGTGGGTAATCCATCGGGTGGTTAATCCGGAGACGCCAGCGGATAATCCATTTCCTAGCAAAATCAGACCAGTCGAAATCCTTGTCGAAACAAAACGCCAATAGGATTTATTATTATTTCTATTAAGAGTTAACATTTGATTCGCTCCAAATCCTCTGACGGTACGCACATCTCTTTAGAATATATCTGCGGTAAAATATATATTGTAGTTGGTGAGCGGAAGTGAAATTTTGTTTTCCCGAAATTGGCTGTGATAAAAAAAAAATGTTTCTTTTGAAGGCGTGCCATGATCTCACATTCTGCCCCTCCGGCTCCTCCGGGCGCGGAGGAGCCGGAGGGGCAGGGGACAGGGAACGCCTCGGGCCCACGGAGAGAGGGAGCGATGCGGACACGGGGGATGATGGCTGTCGAGGATGAACATTTTTTGAACATTTTTTTTTTAATAACGCGTGCAGGAGTCTGAGGATTTCATGAATTTTTTTTTTTGTCCTATTCCCCTCAAAATTTTCGCTTTATCGAATTGTTCCCATGAATGGAAAATATAAATACTCAGGTGCTTCGTTGCTCAATCGTGGGGAAATACTGCGTCCGCAGGTAATTTTTTTTGCGCGCGTCCTGATGTCACACAATTTTTGGCCAAGTGAAAATCCTAAAACCGAATGTGGTTGCCATTTGACTGGGAGGAGGGGGAAATCCACGGAATTTCTGCTCGAAAAAAACCTGCTAAAAAAATTGTGTCACGGAAAGATAACGCAAGAGGGGAAAAACCCGCGTTTGCGACTCTCGGATCGCGTGGCGTCCGGGCGACTTGCCTCTGGTCGCCGCGAGGGCAACTCGGTTGGGTTGCCCTCGCGGAGAATTACTTGAGAATTCGGAATCTGGATGGTCCATTCAAAATGTTTGACACGCTGCGGTTTTCTTGCACTGGACTGGTCGTTGGAGCGATGGAGTGGATGCTTGCAAAATAAGTATATAAATATTTTTCTGTTTTGGCAAAGAAAAAATTAATTGCATCTAATCAAGAATTCGGTTTCCTGGGAGACAGCTAGTTCAAAGTTGAGTTCAACAAGAGTTCAAAAACAGAAAAAAAAAAATCGGAGGCTTTTTTTTAACGAATAATTTAGTTGCACCTGGCCGTAAACGGCCAACCATGTCCTTGCAGGCTTCGGTTCAAGGGAGTACAGGGAGTACATGGACCATGCGGGCCCCGGTACCAATGACAGTACGCGACAGTCGCCACCGCGACTCGAGCACGACAACTCTGACCCGATTTGTCGGCTCCCCGGGCTCCTCGCCCGTTTTCCTTACTTCTTCGGTTTATGGGTGAGGGTATGTGAGGTTTCAATGTGATGCCCGACGTTGGCAGCGTTAGCACGGGGAGGGCGACATGACATCTCCACCAAAAAATTTTTTTTTTTTGGGAATGTCATCCCGGCGAGGAAGTCATCCTTCCTCCAGGGATGAAAGGGAACGAACAAGTTTAATACGCGGGGACGTTCTATACGTCCCTAAGGAAAAGTCCATATTTGAGTTGTGAACACCCCTAAGTAGGGGGAGGGGGCATAGAATGCCCCAATCTCCCGTTGTAGTTTTAGGGATAACAAGGAGAGGAAAACTGAAATAATTGGTTTCCATGGTGTCATTACATTGTGGTAACACGCTTGAGCGATTCTAAGCAGGCATAGGGTTCCATTCCCAGCCGCTCCTCTTTGCTTTTTAGCCCTCATATGTCATCCGAACTCTTCCCCCCCCAGGCTATAACGTCCTCGAGAATAGATCCGACAGTCGCTCCGGAAAAAAGCGAGCCCGAGAGAGGGAAACGAACACACCCGAGGCAGGCAGATGGTGCCGCTCGTGCACACGCGGACTTGCGGACATGCACACGCGGACTTGCGGACATGCACACGCGGACTTGCGGACATGCGCACGCGGACTTGCGGACATACACAAGCATCGGAGGCTTCGTCCGCACACGAGGACTTGCGGACATGCACACGCGGACTTGCGGACATGCGCACGCGGACTTGCGGACATACACAAGCATCGGAGGCTTCGTCCGCACACGACTTCATCACGTTCTTAATATGTAGGAGTCAGACGCGCCCTTCACCAAATTCCCTCTTTAGGGGAGCGATCATGCAAATTTCCATTTTTATTGTTTCCTACTCTTCCCCAAGAAGGAAATCGCACCATCCTCTATTAGCCGAGCCAGACCTTTCCGGAGACTTCTTGGACTGGGTCGCCTACCAGGACCGACATTGTCGACCTCGGGAGACCGACATTGTCGACCTCGGGAGACCGACATTGTCGACCTCGGGAGACCGACATTGTCGACCTCGGGAGACCGACATTGACAACAGAAAAAAAGAGACGAACAAGCGGAATGCCCGAGGTGGAATTGCGTCCTGCCTCCCACCTGCTTTCCTCCCTACCTCCCTTAAACCGCAGCAGCGGATGATGAGCTCCTGGCTCTCACGTGTCCACTGCGCTCGGTCCACTGTGCCCGTCCACTGTGCCGGTCCGCAGTGCATCCCTTCGAGATGTCCGTCTCGTCGGGAATGCTCTCTTGCGTTCTCGGCGCTTTTTCGTTGTGAGGTGTTGGCTATGCTGAGGAGTCTCACAAAAAAAGGTAATTTCCCCCCTTTTAACTATAATGATGATGATCGGCATTCCTTTTTTTTCCATTTTCGCTAGCATCAACGGACATAACGGACTTTTCGAGGTGCAGCGCTCGGTACCCCACCGACCGCTCCGAGAAACAGCGAACTCGATGACGGGAATTTCTCACTCTTGAAAGAATTTTCCGGAGATTTTCCGGAGCAAGTGGAGTCGGTTCGGGAAGCAATCCAGCTATTCACTTTCATGATGACGGAGAGGAACGGACATATGGTGGAAATGCAGGAAACGTAAGCGTAAATAAAGCTTATCCCATAAAAGAAATGTTCACAATAATAAATGAAATAAAATTATCATGAGTAAATCAAGTAACGTCTACGTCATTCATAAGATTTTGCTTTTCGACTATTGCCTGACCGTGGTGCGAATGAGTACCGTCGCTCGTCGGTGCCAGTACCTTTGAGCAGCGTGGATACGATTTCCTTTCGAACTGGACCGGTCACGCGAGCGTCACGCGAGCGTAACGGGACTCGGTGACCGCGGTCGCCATAGTGGCGGGGGGACGTCCGCTCTCGAAACGGGTGGAAAATGGGCATATTTTGGGGGCTTCGAAGGAAATTAATTGTCGTGCTGATTCCGATGGCAACTGGCACCGCGAGGTATATGGTACTTATACTTATTTGTACTTAAATCGAAAATTTTTTGGGCCGTTTATGCGAAATAAATGCCGCTACGTGCTCCTAAAATCTGATTTCACTTTGTTTTTCTCGCTAGTATGAATCCTTACGCTGACGAAAACGTCCCATAAGAGTTCCATAGGAATGTATAGGAATCCTATCGGAACATACAGGAATCTCAAAAAGGTTTCCCTTAGAATCTTTGGGGCTCCTATAGGGAAGCATGGATTCCTAAAGGGAGTCCGTGCGATTCCCATAGGAGTCATATAGTATCCTATAGGTTTCTCATCCACTCCATCATTATGAACTGAAATTCATGACCACTTCAGCCGCAAGTCCGTAGCAATCGACGAAAATGCGAAACAGCCGCTTCGTTTCAGGGCACAGTCACTTTTGAAACACCCTGTCGAATGCATATACATTTCGGCTCGGGTATGGGGAATGGTTGGGTAGTGGAGGCCTTATGAAGCTCTGGAGCGGTGGATGCCCATGATATCAGAGGAAGGCGGCATCGGAGTTCGAGGCTTCGCTAGAGGGCGCTGAAGCTTCGGGAGTCAATGTTTCTTCCAGGGTTCCTGAACAAAATTTGGCATACTTCGTCCCCTCTCAACACAGAATCGAAAATTCGAAGCATCCGAATCCATCTCCCGGGGTTGTAGAGAGCACCGAATCTGGGAGATGTGAATTTCGTTCCGGTATTTTTTTTTCCCTCCCTGGGTAGCCTCTCCTGGGGAGTTTTTGAAGAGACCAGCCAAACGCAATATATTGACTTGCGAATGATCATGGGGGGGGGGGGGGTTGGTGAAATTGAGGTTAAGGTTGAGATTGGGTCGAAGTTGAAAAAAGGTAATACCTTTGAAATTTGGTTTTCACATTCCTACATATCGTCATATGTACTATAACTCCTTCGGTGCAAAAACCAGTCGAACGCATCAGTATCTTCCGATCTCTCTTGTCAGATTCCAAATAGAGACTTTTTTTCCACTCTTAGGATTCCGCGGGGCCAAAATCCGATCTTCCTTCTGTGACGGACGTCAAAAGAGGATTTCGGTCGCAAGAATGAGGTGAGTGAATCTCTTCGGACTTTGGGTAAAATGTCTCTTCTTTCGAGGAGAATGTTCGGAGGGATGGTGAAGTGCCTGTCGGTTTTGAATGGTTTCCAACCGGAATCGCGGAAATTTATCATGAAAATCTACAAAAACCGCAACTTTAACGGACTTTTTTTTTTTTCTCACGCAGGTCGCATCTTTGGGAATCGAAATGTTCGGTCGGCCTCAATATCTTCCGTCACAGAAGAGTGAGGTTTGAGATCTTCGGAAGTCATTGCTCGAGGTGGCTTTTCCTGGCGATGGTGGCACTGACTTCAGCCGTGTACTTCGTCATCGCGTCGAGGGAGAGATTCCCCTCCGTGCCGACATCCAACATCGTGCAGGGAAGGTCGACTCCGCTCGTTCTCCCCCGAGAGGGATGGCAGCGGGTGTGGGGCTTGCCCTACCGAATGCACGTGTTCTCGGCCTTCTACCAGGTCGAGGGGAGGGCGGAGGGGAAGGCCGAGGGGAGGGCGGAGGTCAAGGTCGTCGGACTCGTGAAGAACCCGGAGACTCCGGAGCTGGAATGCCTCTTTGCCTTCGAGGACGGCACCAGCGGCCAGGTCAAGGCCGACATTCGGCTCAAAATCGATCCCCCCCGGGCCTTCACCACTTGTTTCGTCACCTGTCCCGTCGACCATAAGGTGAAAAAGATCCCTCGGTGGGTCTCAATAATCAAGCCAAACTCCCCCATAGGCAATAGCCTTGAAGTCTGGAGGAACTCTCTCGAGAAACCGCAACAGTCGATGGGGCTGTGCGTGAGACCATTACTCAACGGATTTGATGATTACGAGATTTTCCTCGAGTTTTTAGAATTTTATGGACTGATGGGTGTGAGTGAGTTTCGCTTTTACGTTTATTCCGTGGGACGCCGGATGAACTGTCTCCTGCAATCGTACCAGAAAGAAGGAATCGCCACGGTCGTGCAATGGAACATGCCTTACGAGGAGTCCGAGACTTTTTCAGGCGCCCAGGTCGCGGCATCGAACGACTGCGTCTATTCCTTCAGGGGCGTGCACAAATACGGGATCATCGTCGACGTCGACGAATTCCTCGTGCCGAGAGTCCACGAAAGCCTGTGGGACCTGATGGAGGACGAGACGAAGATCCACCCCGAGGCCGGTGCCATGCTGTTCCACAATACATTTTTCTACCGGATGCAGAACGACTCTTCGAACGCCGCGTCGGACGACCCGTTGGTTCTTCGCAAGACGACGAGGACGAAGGCAATACTCGGTGGTATTAATCGCGCGAAATACATTTTCGTACCAGAACGAATCCTCGTGAGCGACATTCATCACATCCACGAATTCGTCCAGAATTTCTCGCTGGTGGAGGTCGATCACGAGGTCGGCCTCCTTCACCATTACCGCGGGCCGTGCGTCGACGAGAATTGCTTGAGTCTTCCCAGTGTGAATGACGAGAGCATCCTTCGCTTCCGGGAGGCGTACCTCCCCAGATTTCGGGAGGCCAAGGAGAAGTGGTTCCATCCGTGCCTGATTTAGAATTGAAGGATGCGACGGCGGACGGAGGAATGCGTCGTGGTTTTTGAGTCACCCTGTTTCCTTGCTTGCCTTGCTTGGGCCGCTTCGAAAGAAACTACTCAGGGACAGTAAAATGCTCTGCGATTGAATTTAGAGAGCTTCTCATTACCGATTCCAGAACCGCATCAAGGAAACATATTTCACGCTGAAAGTTCTGGCCCCGCCCTCATGGTGGTCGCGCTCACCCCTGAGGTGGCTGTCCGGTGGCGGAGCGTGCGCACCCTTAACAGTGCGGGATCTCCCATTTATTATGTTACATCTTTGGGTATATTTCATTAAGCACCCCTGGGGAATGGCGTTGATACATATGTGAGCGAAAAGCAATGCTACTAAAACTCTCTAACTTTGGAACGGTTAGATATGAATTCATCAGAAGACGTGAGCTGAGTTGCCAATTTACATACAAAAATAAATTTGAAAAATATCGAAATAAATGAAGCGGGTACGCAGACGACTCGAACTCTGTGTACCGGCACTTCTGCACATCTGGATATGAGTAATCCATAATCCATGGGGATAATCCTTGCTTTTAAAGAGGAAAATAAACCGAGCAATGTTAAGTCTGGTGACCGCTGGGTCACCAGACTTAACCTTGCGTAACCTTAACTTAACCTCGCCACATCTCACTTTCATCGTTCGCGGTCGGACGATACCCCGGTTTCGTCAAAAAGTTTAGTTCGGATCGTCTTCCGCGAAGCGATAATCGCGGTCGCCATCTGCGTTGCAATTCCGCGACGCTCCAGCGGGAAGGAATTCTCGAGGAAATCATTTCTCTTTTTTTGGGCTTGAGGTCAGCCTCATGTGTTCGTTTTGCTTAAATATGATGATTGTCAGTTTGAGGCATTTTTCAACCGGATGCAGATCGATTCTTCGAACACCACGTCGGACGACCCGTTGGTTCTTTGCAAGACGATGAGGACGAAGGAAATACTCAGCAGCATTACTAGCGAGAAACACGTTTTCGTGCCAGAACGAATCCTCGTGAGCGACATTCATCACATCCGCGAATTCGTCCAGAATTTCTCGCTTGTTGAGGTCGATCACGAGGTCGCCCTCCTTCACCATTACCGCGGGCCGTGCGTCGACGAGAATTGCCTCGACCTTCCCAGCGTGAAGGACGAGAGCATCCTCCGCTTCCGGGAGGCCAAGGAGAAGCGTTTCCATCCGTGCCTGATTGAGAATTGAATGATGGGACGACTGAGTGGGGGATGCGTCGGGCCTTTTGAGTTACCCTATTTCCTGGCTTGGCTTGCTCTCATCTTGGACTGCTTGAATCGAAAGAAACAACTGACGGACAATTAAATGCCCAGTAATAATTAAATACTCAGAGTTAGAATTTAGATAGCACGTCATCGAGATTTGCATAGCTTGTCACCAACGATTCCAGAACCGGAACAAGGAAAAATATTTCACATTGAATGTTCTCGCCCCACTTTCATGGTGATCACGCTCACCCCGTGAGGGTGCGGGATCTCACCTTTATTATATTATACCTTGTATTTGAGTGCAGCCTTTGATGAGCACGACATGCGCCTTATTCGCATAGGAAATTTGCAACATGGCGTCACATTTTGGTCACAGTTTCACTTTTGATTAATTGGGTTTGTGTCGATTCGGTTACCGATCGGCTGTATTGTCGTCAACGCCAACCATGGTGGTCGACGAACATTGACTTTCTTTTCTATTCCACAAAGACCGTTTTGATTGATACTCAAAGGAATTGATTGATGGGTTTTCCATCTCTATTTTATGGTCCTTCAGAATGAAGCGAGGGCGGCGAATGCGCTCTCATACCGTGCACGCATTTCTTACGGACCTGGCCCTCAATCTCTTTCCTTCTTATCTTCGTTCCGTCAATTTAAGATTGATCCAACTCTTGACGTGTCGCGCAGAGGGATGGGTCCCTATATTATTATTTATTTCGTTTCATCCACACCATCTTGGCAATAAGATACAATGTGAGACAATATCGGAGGACGCTTTTTTGTCAACCCTGCGCAGGTAATGGAGTTAAGAGTTTTCACATGTTTACTGCCTGAAGCATAAGAACCTCACGATAATAATAATACCCAGGGCCATGTTAAGACTAAAAGATCCACCTTGGCATCAACTTATTTCTTCGCCAAAGTTTTGTGAAAAAATAGTAAATCCATGTATGGTTTTCCTTTTTTAAGAGTCAAATCCCTTTCGGCTGGGGGTTCGACTTCGGGAAGATCTGACGTGAGTGAATGTCATATAGACCATGTCCTCATTCGCCTTCCTCTATCTGTTCTTCCTCTGTTTGCACGACTGATTGTAATGTCTCCCTCTTCATCTTTGAAGGCAACGAAGGGGTACAATTTATTTTTAAGTTCTTGGTTTAATTTATCAATGCACTCTCTTTCCTCTCTTCTCCGAACGCAGGTGCTTCTTGCCCGTGCTCACCGCCAATGTACACATTGCGATACAATACGGTAAATTATATATTCTACTTCGCTCGATATATTTAAGCAGTGTAGAAGAAAAGGTTTTTGATGAACCCTGTCAATGCGCCAGAATCAGCAGGGACGTGAGTTCATGGTTCCATCGCCCATAAAATTGAAATTCACCACCCAAATCCCAAGAACGACACAAGATTAGAACGTTGCAGGATGCTTCTTTCTCTTGATCTTGCATGTTGGGACATACATTGGGAGATGGACCGATGAAAATGTTACACTCTTCACGCGAGTCATTGGATGCAAGAAAACAGGTTTCCTCTTTGCATCGTGTATTCCGGTATGCATGACACAGGACTTTTTGACTTTCTATGGGTACACAATATGGTTAGCATTGATAATATTTTATTTACCAATCTCTTAAGCGGACAATGAATGTTCACTTTAAAAACCTGACTAATGCGTGGTATTTAGGTATTAGCCTGTCGTGGCAGCAGCTCCATCGATGTAGACGCCGAAGACGAATTACCAGTCCAAATAATTTTCCAAATAATACGAATTACCAGTAACGAATTACCAGTCCAAATAATAACATCATAGTTGTCGATGAATCGAGAGAATTCTGCGGGTGTCGTTCGAATCGGTATGTTTGAAACCATCACATGTTCAAATGTCATTCCTTTGTCCATAGCGCATGAAGGCAATAAAAGTTGCCGCCTTGGAAATGTCTGTGGATTCGTCCAACCCTACAAATAACCACTTTATTTGAGTCTTTCGAGAAGTTGACATTCGATATCACAATATCACTCTTCGTGCGAACCAACTCGATAGTAGTTATATATGCTTACGCAAAAATTGAGTATTGATTGCACACCTTTCCAACAATTTTAACGATTATATGTGGATTTTCATGATGCCCCTATTTGCGGACGACCTTGTTCCAGTTTGTGGGAAATGTCTTGCCCAATTTGAAGATGACATCAGCTTCTTGACGTTCATGAGCGTGGAAAAACCTTATTAGAAGATATAACCATGGAATGCGAGCAGTTTTATTCATTGTCACAGAAGCGAAAATACGAGAATAATAATTCGCTCCATCCCGCTTTTTTTGGCAATCACAGCTGGACATCAGTCAGCAACGCCCATTTTGGTCGAGCCAAACTTGATACCGTTGAAAACCGTCGCACGTTATCTGATTAAGTCCACGAGACCTGATTGCTCAAAAAATGTACTTGATGGCCTAAACAAAATGTTTCAACTTTGTCGCCAAACGCCTTTTCTTTCTTATCATCTCGGCACTCCTTATTGAAACATCAGGCCGTAGCTTCGCGAATAATGTAATATATACTTATTCGTAGATTACGATTAAATAGGATTGTTAGGAGCACGAATTTCGAAAATCGTCCCAATTTCATATTTTTCACATGTCATGGAAATTATGCTGCATACGTTATAAGAGGTAGTGGAGGCATTTGTGCGCTTCGCACAAATGCATTTAAATGGCGGTGAAAGGCTAAGATTCGTGTCTCTCAGTGGAAAATATGTTCATCGTGTCCATATCATTACATTATCCTCACTTTTAAGCACTCGCCGCCACTTCTTGAAATTTCATCCCGCGGAAAATTGTGCAAAAGGGAGGAAACAGGATTTAAAAAATGAAGTACGCCAAGCCCGATCAAACAACTCCATTCCCAGTGCATATTACGTAAGGCTGAATTTCAAATAAAGTCGGCTATTTCCAAAACACAACACGTATGGAAAGATGTGAAGCGTTCGGATGAGATCGTATCCCTTCCATTTCGTATTCAAAAAGCTTCGATCAATGAAATGTTTGATCTAAAATATGAATTACAATGTGCATATCCACTCCCTCAAAAATACAAAGTCATGCTCACGTGCTATAACTGATATAATGACTGTGCTGTGCTGATGTGTTATGGTCGTCAAGAAGAGGAAGCGTCTTGTCATTGAGGAGACGGAGCTCGACCGCGAAGGGAATTATAACCAGATCAAAGGGAAAACCTGTTTTAAAAAAGTCACACGAGAACATTCTTTCGTGCGTGAATGTTAAGCCTAGCAAAGTGAAAATGATGTATTTGCTTGCGCGGAACGTCTTATGGACAGATGGGGATATCGCAAAAATCCCGTCCCTTCCCATTGCTCTTGAAACACCAAGGACCGTTTTCGTCGTCGATAGGGTTCCGACAGAAATTGTGGGCTGGGTGCATGTCGTCCGATATGGTGTAGGGTTTCGAAGTTCCTTCATCAGTAATTGTAAGAGAGAAGCCGCCATCTGTCTCATAATCCGCATCCCCTGTGAAAAGATCTTGCCTTTGGGCTGATTCGCTCATCCACGGGAGGCATTTGTGCCCCTTGCGGGTCACATTCTTCGTTCCAATGTATGTACTACCCATCACGTCCGTCTTGCATTCTGGTGGGCCTGGAAAGCAACATGCAATAGTTCGAAAGAGTTCGTAGAGTGAGGCAGGGTGAAGGCGTTTGTTCGTGGACGGGTTGAAGTTCATCATGGATGTAGAACTACGGTCGTGGGAGTCTCTGGAGAACTGCGTGTTTGGTTTCAATATGACATCGCTTATCATAGTTATGTAGTCCGTACTCTTGAATTGAGTATTGTTTGCATTTTTTTCCAAGAATAGGTATTTTAATATGAATTTTCACGCTGTTTCAAATTTTCCTTCCAGTTCGTGGACATTCACGGACCAAGTTTCTGGACGACACCAGTTTCTGAGCAATCAGCGGGATGAAAGAGGACTTAAAGGGTTGCACGCGGTTCCATTTTACACGTTCCAACGCCTGTTAAGCACTGCATATTAAGCATAGCGCGGGGGTGGTGGAGAATGTGTGCTTTATGACAGAACTCGTGAATTCTCGACTATATTACGAATACGACTATATTACGAGATTTGCATGAGCAAATGTCACACCAAAGCTATAATTCCTAACAGGTTTTATACATCCGCTTTTCCAAATCCAAATATGGAAGAGATCTTCGTGAGTCGGACGAAATCAACTAGCACGTGACACTCATGGCCCAGGCCGAGTGAAAGTTTATGGAAGTACGGGTCGGCAAGTATATATTTAAACGGTAAAATAATTTTGTACTGCGACTGGAAGTGCGTCGTTCTTTAAGCTTTTTTCACTCCCCCTTTAGTTAGTGGAATGGGAAATATGTGATGGATTGCACATGATCAGAAGATAAGGGAATATGAAACAATCGTTACTCACTGACACACTGGCCTCCGACTCGAACAAGGCACTTTTCATTGACAACGGTTGGACAGAATGGAACGTCGCAATACCCCCATTCCTCTTCGAGACTGGTGAAGCAATAAGGGCCGTAATCCTTTTCTTGGGGGTTGCGGCAATACGCATGCCTTCCATCTACTTCATCTGGAATCCTGAGGATCATCCCATTAAACGTGAAAAAAAATGTGATCATGAGCCAAGGTAGGCAGGGGACCCCGGACATCGTCACGTTTCTCTTTCCCACATACTCCGCTCCTCGCTCTGTGATTTTGCATTCTGGTGGTTCTAGGGAGCGAATATCGTGAATTGAAATGTTTCGAGGTAAATCATAGACTACTTTAGTTTATTGGCAGCGCACGTAAAAATCAGCAAGTGAGATTGTGGCAGCGACAATATTAACGTCATCTCATCTGATTAGGGATGGAGTCAGCAAAATCTAAGTAGAGCAGTTGCGGGACCTTCCTTCTCCGTTTCCGACCTTCGAGGCTTCAGAAGGATACGGCAGCCGAATGCTGTCGTCCTTCCTCTTGAATCTTTCAATTTGATATTCTAGTATTCATCGAAAAATACATTCTTGAACTTTGCGTCTCTCCCCTCTACATAAACATTATCTATGGCAATTTATTATCCTTTAGCTTATGTTTATATCCGTACCAATAATACTGGAAGAGTTATGTCCTGGTACTCGGGTCGGGCTTTGAATCAATGTCTTTGTATGTTTTTCCAACACCCATATTCCCACACAAATGCTGATTATATGCATTTTATCCAAATATTTCCCCCCAATTTACTGGTATGGGAATGTTATTCCTCCAATATGGTTTTCTCCATTTTCTCTTATGAAACCCAAATCACACACATAATCTCAGAAACGTTAGTGTGCTGTTCTTGTAAAGAGGGACCAGAATGAACTAACTGAGGTCTTGGCAGAAGGGGATGTCGCAGTACTCCCACTGTGTGTCATTGTCGGAGACGAAGCACCATGGTCGCTCCCTGTCTACACCTGGATTTCGGCAGTGGTTGTGGCGGATGTTGAAAACTAACTGAGGTCTTGGCAGAAGGGGATGTCGCAGTACTCCCACTGTGTGTCATTGTCGGAGACGAAGCACCATGGTCGCTCCCTGTCTACACCTGGATTTCGGCAGTGGTTGTGGCGGATGTTGAGTTCCGGCCGCCTGAAAGGTTCCATGAAATGTAGTTCGTACCGAAACCCTCTGGGGTAAAAATCCCAAGGGGTTTTGTAAGGTTGAGGATGCCATGGTAGACAAGCCGTGCCAGTTTCTGTCTCGTTCTGGCTCCCTACATATTCCCTCCCCTTTTCTGACAGTCGGCATTCTGGATATATTCCCGTCCTGCCTTCAGGTATTTCCGCTACCACTGTTAACTCCATTGTTGATAGGTCGCAGAACGGGATGTCGCAGAAAGCCCACGTGATCCCAACCGGATCTCTTTCCCCAAAATCCATGTAGCACCAAGGACCAAGGTTTGGATTAAGGTTATATATGAAACCCCCCTTTTCCGTATTTGGGTTTCTGCAGAAGTTGTGATCTTCGTCAACGCGATCGGGATCAGGGAAAGCCAGAAGGAGATTTGCAATATCTTCTTGGTTTCTCCAAGGCAGGCAGGGCATTCCATGGATTGTCACGTTCCTCGTGCCCATGTATTCCCCTCCCCATCGAGTCACTTTGCACTCCGGTGCGACTGGTGGCAAGAAAGAAGTCCCGTTTCATTTAGCATCTATCAAAAGGAACTTATTGACTTGGCATAATATATCAGAAAAGAATTTGCGTGTGACCCGGTCACTCGTTGGAATTGGATGTACAGTATATAGCGTTCCTTCGGCCTATGCTGGAACAGGTGCGACGAAAACGAGAAACTGCCCTCAGTATCCATAATTCTTCCATTTTATTTTAATAACCTTATTTAGTAGCGGTTATAGTAGGAATCGCGGCATCATCCATCATTTTCGAGCCGCCATTATCCTCAATTTCGATTCGACAAATGGAGAAACAGTCACATGATTCCATGTCTCCTTGGTCGGAGGATATCTATTATTATTTCAAAACATCGAGATTATTTTTTTTCAAAAATTGGATCTGAACCATGTCCTCCTCCCTCATCAGTTGCTCATTGGGAAGCACATGCCAACTGGTTTAATACAGGGTGGGTCAAAAATAAAACTTTGATTATCTTCATCATTCTAAAGCACTATTCCCCAATAATTTTCTAAAGTTGCAATATTGCCTCAGTGAAGAACATTCGTTCAACTTTCCAACGATGTGAACAGAATGAAGATTCATGGTATCATTTCCATGCAATTAAACAAAGAATATACGAATTGCCGCTGGAAATGTGAGCAACCCTTAGGCCAAATTGGGAATGTGCGAAGGAATTGGCGTCACTTAGAACATATGTATTGCACAGTACTGGCGAGTGCACTTTTAGATGCTTCCTTTGTTTCTGCATGCGTCACTGCATGGAAAAGTCGGAATAAATCACAAATCTTTTGGAAGCTGTCAGTCATTAGATGATCGTCTATACCCTCTAAAATCTGTACCCATAAATTTACCTATAATATAACTCATGCGACCCCATTTCATTGGTTTCCAAATGTATTTTTTGTAACCAAATAAACACCAGATGATACCCATGAAGTTGCTGAAATACCTATTAGGTCACTCATTAATTCCAGTATATAGGTATCAAAATGTTGCCTAGGGACAGACATAAATAAAGTTACCCATAATTATCTCTATATTATTATAGCATTACTACTAATGTCTTAAGTCGTGAGTGAAGAGATTCATAAATAATAAACACGCACGTCATGGTGATATAACTACTAGGTTGAGTTCACTTCATTGCATAAGGGTAGAAATAAACTGATGGACATGGTGAACAGGAAAGTAATTTGTCATTTAACATCAGCAAGCACTGATTGCAATTTGTCTGTTTGCAAGGTGCTGCTGAATACACGCATTGTGCAGACAGTCTGCAGGAAACCCAGAAGGTTCCCAAACATTGCTGGGAATGAGAGGTCCCTCATGTAACAAGTTCCCAGGCAGATGATGGCTGCTTCTTCTGGAGTGATGTCACTCATGGTTAATCAATTGTCCTGTGAGACAATGAAGTACACAGAGTCCTCTTACAGATAGCAATGTGGTCCTGGCAGTCGCCTTCTCAATGTATCACCAGCATGCCACTGGGATAATGCAGCAATTAAATTGGAGATTACAATCTTGATTTAGGGGCTAAAAAGAAATGATGCAATCAAAGAACATAAAAATGTCAGTGTAATTGATGTAATACTGCAAATTTCAGCAACAAAATGAGCAGATACCAACAAAACGGGTAGATTGACCTGATTTAGCAATCTTAGTTTTGAACTTGAATGGCTAAGATATGCCTGCAAGGGGATGTGACTGGGCTCCCGGTTGAATATTGATGAAAATTTCACAAGAGCTTGACTCAGGTTTTCCAACAATGTTGAAAAATCAGGAACTTTCAGCCATCTTGCAATTTTTCCACAGAGCTGCAAAAAGAAATTGGAAAATGAAGGCTTATTGGTATTTCTTTGGTTCAGTGTCTAGATTTAATATTTTCCCTGACTAATAATGACAAACATAGAGACATTTCTAGTATCTGCTGCCTAATTGCAGCTGGTGCAGCTAAGGTTGGATTGTATGTTCTCCATTAATGGAATGCGATTTGTGGTGTGGGATTTTAAATAAATCAATACAATTTCTTACTTGCAGGAATAAAAGATTTTCACCTGTGCTTAAAACTATCCTGAATTGAAGGGGTTAAAAGGAAAAATTCCTCACCACAATCTTTGATTCATGTAGGGGGTAAATCACCATGGGAGTTTTTCCTCGCTGTCAAAAGTAGCAAAAAGAATAACATCCACATTTATCACATCACAAGGTTCACCAGGAGACATGATTCTGGTCATCTCCTGAAATATGAGGGGAAAATGCAATTTAAAGTACAGTCTTCAGAAGTAGTGAGATATGCCTATATTCAAAAATATGCCTATTTAAATCCAGTTCTCTCAGAGCATCTTTAATAGAGATTTTCTGAGGATCATGGTGAATTTCTGCCTTTTGACTGTTTCTTCTCTGGGGATGGTTCTTTCTAGGCTTTTCCACTTTCCGCCTTGCGGTCAATTTCCGCATAAATGCACTCTGCAAGAGTAAAGCCATGAAATGTTCAAGATCACATTCAATATTCCATGCACACAGAAATGAGACATGTCACACATACCCAAGGGTCAGGAGTCCCCTTTTCCTTTACATTTTTTTTTTCTCTGGAGAATCAAATTTCTGGCCTGGGTAAGTCATCAGAAGTGCTTACCCTAATCTACTATATTTCATCTTTGTACACCAATGTTCCCCATTTCAATCAAGCTTTCATCACTGCAAATAATCTCATCAAATTATTTAAGCTATTGTCAAACAAATACAGTGGCAGAGAGACATGCAAGACTAGACTCTCTGGAAACAGGAGAGTCCATTCAAACCACATAACTTACTCCAAATATGATATGATTTAAAATCTCAGGTGATCAAGGAGGATCTTTTGGCATCAGAATCCAAACTGTTACCATGAAGCAATGGAGCAATGGTTTCTGTAGGTGTGAATTCTATCAGGAATCCTGAATTCCCTTGGTTAGTCAGAGGATTCAAGTTTTCCATGGCGTATGTTGACATATCAGATATGACAAGACAAATATGTAAGAAGTTTAAATTACTGATTGCAAGGACCATTTCCTATGATATGATAGGAATAATGGAACTGGACAACAAATGGAAAATTATTTGGCATGGAATGGCACGGAAAAGTGGCATGACATGAGAATCCTTCAGTGAATACAAAGCAGCACTAAAAAGTTCTTGAGAGAAATTTTGTTTTGGAACAATCTCCTCAAGGAGGATATACATTGGATCAAAGAGTAGGTCTTTTGTGATTGAGAAATAAAGGATATCCAAGAAGGGGCTATGACATTTTATGCCATACTTCTGACTTAGTGCCTTCCTTTCCTTTACATTGGCTGCATTGTCCAACTCATGAAGGCATTGAAGATGTTCATCATCTGTTCTCAGTACTTTTCCACTATGGTAAAAGTATGAGGAGAATTCAGATGTTTCTGTCAGACAAGCCCGACAGGAGCGAAAAACAGTTGGACATTCTTTAAATCCGCCAATGTTATGGCATACTAATGCATTTCCAAAATATGCTAAGAGCAGTGCAGCTTAATCTGTTTTTCTCCATGTGTATAGAGATCCAGTGTTCCATGCTGTAAGGCAGTCAAACAGGAAAGAAAGTCTCCAAGCAGTTCTTTTTTCAATGCATTATTCTTTAAAGGACCAGCAAGCTCAACAGCAAGGAGATGGATATGGTGCATCTGAGATCTCTGATGTTCTGGTATTCTAAGGAATGTGATATGAAATACGAATTGCTTCCCAGTTTGTCCCTTTTCATGCCTAAAGGATTTGGCACTTCCAGCTCATTAGTGTACAATCCTAGCACAAAACAATTATTTGTGGCTTTGAAGAATAGGGTGTGCTCTGTACCTGGCACCACTGGAAAAGTCTGTGCACAAAGTATCACCTTCATTGACCTGAGGTGAAGTGTTGAAAAATGGTTTCATGTGGTCAAGTTGCAGAACAAACTGAATAAGTTCTCAAAATGGAACAAAATGGCATTTTGTGCCATCAGAAATCATAATTTGCTTGGGAGGAACGAAAATGTTCTACTAGGCATAGTATGTCTTTCTTTTCTTTTGGAAAGATTTCTGAAAAGGATTCTACAATATGTTGATCAGCACATGGGATGCACAGAAGCGCCCTTCTAATTGACGACACAAGTTACTGAGTTTGAAATCAATGTGCTTTTCCAAAGGAATATGTTCTATCACACAAATACTGTCACTTAAAGGAATTACAGAAGTGTAATATTCGCAATTTGACAATGATTGGTTGGGACAAGCATCAGGGGTAACAGAATCATCTACTTCACCGGTAGGCACGTAGGCACAGTTGTTTTTGTTGCCCCAGCACTAGCAAGTTGTACATATGAGGCAGCTGAAACAGGTGCGCATATCTGAGAATGCTCCTTAAATTTGTTCCAAAATGTAAATGTGGCTCCACAACGACACTTGAACATCCTATTAGATCTGCTGTGGCAGAACTTCACGAGTGTCCAAGTGTGCAAATCTCATGGTGGAAAATTTCCAGCTGCCACAAAGGTATGGATAGGGATTTTTCTGACCTGATTCCCTCTCCACAATGCCTTCTAACGAGGGGGTTCCACGAGAAGGCTCAGCATTGGAAAATCCACGATCCAACAAGATGCTCTTGTGTTGGTCTTGATCTGGCTGATCTGGCACTGTCACGACAGGGGAGAGATTGATTGTTTGACGGGCTCCAGAGACACCCAATGCAGTGGTGCCTATGTCATCAAGTGAATCCGTTAAACAAACAGCAAGCTTCTCAGGAATGCATGATGAGATTTGGCAAAATTATCATCACAGTTCAATAATGCTTGAAACTAATAAGATAAAAACTTCTCACTAGCAGTACATAATCATAAAATTCTAATTTATATATGTTATGTTTGGCAGTAATCTTAGTATCTTCATGACTTCACTTAACCTCAGGGGAGATAGTCCATATGCATGATTAAACGCATGAACATATACACCATATAATGACAGAATAAAGATATAAACACTCAGATAAACACTCAAGCCAATGTGATGGTAGGCCTAAGTTATATTGAAATAACACTAAAATATATTGTAATCAAATGAACTTACGGATTTTTGAGTGAGATACTGGTGCATAACCACAAAAGTCACATCAGCGTCAGGGCTTCCTAAGTCCGTTACTAAGGTCACCTGTGAGCGGTTGCACTGAAAGTCTTTCATATGCATCCCAATCACAATTCGCCTCGTTACATCTGCCCTTCCTGTTGCCTCTTAAATTAAAGGCGACATTTCAGCCATGAGGACTCCAATAAAGTAACTACTCTGTTCGCAATTGGAAGATAGAAGATATTATAGACATGCAGATAATAGTACGGACACACCAAGCCTAATTACAATAATTATGATGCTGAAATAATGTCGCAATTAATATGGGTATGATTCGTTGCATCACCTAAACTTTAGTCCTCACTTTCCATGAATCCAGAATATTAAAAACGATCAGGGTTTAGTTCTATTACAGCCGTAAGTCTTAAAATACTTATGTGCTCGCTAAAGGGATTCTTTGCCTGCATTAATACCCAAAATCGAAAGACTAATACAAGCTAGGCCAACATTTGGCTAACACCATAGTGAACTCCAGGCCTTCACACACAGAAACGCGAAGTCTCAGCAACAACACTCAGACCTATTTACACAATGCTTAGCAGTAGCGTGATCCTATTCTTTAGCGTAATGCGCAGCGCAGTGGGATCACCTCAGGATTTGAGAGTCCTGGTATGGTGTACCACGCACTCGCTACGTCGAGACCTACACGGGCTACTTTCTCTTTTAAACTCCATGCCCGATAGGCCTGCTCTCGTTGCAGAACTGCGGGTTGGGTCGGGTCGGGCCAATCCGAAGAGGTCTCCAACCGCCTTAAACCAGATTCAATTGTCCCCACGCGATCTTCTGGGAGAAGGACTGACAAAGTTCCTCAAACGTTTTGTTTATTGACGCAAAAAAGGCAATCCTCATCGACCGCGATTCCAATAGGCCTTTCCTTTATAGGCCAATAGGCCAATTCCTTTTTTTCCGAATAATTTGTTAAAATTAAAATTAGCTTCTTAACGGGTCAGCAAAAATAATTACGGTAGCAGCTCGATTTGTGTTTCGATCCGAGTTAAACTTCCAAAAACGGGACATATATTTTTTTTTAAATGGAGATATTCCAACTTGATTGCGTCCTATTGAATGCAGAGCTTTGAAGGAGATTCATCACGAAAGGATATGAAGAGATTTATGACATGACTGAGCTACAGAGGTGGCGATTGCCCCTCCAAGTTACTCATATTTCACGCCGCTGTTACCTATATACTTTTACCTAAGGGTACCGATGTTACCTATAGACATCATGTAATCTATGAAGTTACCCAAACTACTCTATCACAGGATATTTTAAAAGTTACATTCTAAGTCCAGCATGTACAGTGTACAGAAACACTTTTGCTATATTTAAAGTTCTCGAGAAACTACGATAACAATGGAATATTTTGTTGGCCAATCATGTATTTCCTCTATCCCCTTACTGCCCATGAAACTGCATAAGACGAAATTCACCTGGGTCAGTGCATAAAGGGACGTTGCAGTATTCCCACTGGATTTCAGAATCGGAAACGAAGCACCAGGGTCTCTCCCTCCCGGATGGATTCCGGCAGTAGTTGCGGTGAGACAAGGAGTCTCGATTAAGGAAGTGGCCCTCATATAATGCGTCGTTTGTCGGCATTCCGGGAGGTTCAGAAAGCGATTCAGTGTCATAAAATAAGCTTTCAATGAAGTTTGGGTCGTCACGTATCATTAATGGGATGTCCGAGAAGTCATCCGGTCTTCCGTAGGGATAGTCTCTCCAGAAGAGGCACTTCCTGCCCGATTCCGTCACGCTGATTCCTCCTACGTATTCCTTGCCCTTTTCTGTCAAACGACATTCTGGATACAAATGCACTTCCTCACCTGCCAGTAACAAAATTCAGCGATCGAGTGACGATGAGCAACAAAGAGTTGAGGAAATACTGCAAGTGCCGGTTACGAGCGAAAACTTGAAATGTTATATGTTCATCCATCTCATCCCCACAACAGATCAATTGGAAAAAAATTTTGGATCCAAGTTGCGCGATCAGCTTCAGCAAAATTTCAATTTTTGGTGCTCATCTTCAATGTTATTTCCAAAAGATGTCTCATTTTCGCAATATAATGGAACATTTACAAAATCTGAAGTTTGAATCGGAACAATCGCTGGTTCTGCATTGGAAACTTTAGTCTAAGATTCTTGTGGAAAGAAGTTAGCAATTGCTGAAACCGATTCCTAGAACAACCAGGATCCAAAAAGCAGTGCCAAGACAGGACATCATTGCTCCGCCGTAGGGCATTCTTTTGATCTTTCGGACTAGGAAATATTAATCATATGCCCTAGTTGCACATAACATTGAAGTGACATTGATTCAATGTTTAAACAAAGGTGAATTAACATTGTTTCACTGTTATGTGCTACTATGGGGCTGTGGAGAATACTCAAAGGTAGGACTAGACGTTGTGCGGCATCGAAACCCTTTTTCTAATGGTTCTTGAACTACCTCGTTTTCATATTGGTCTTTTTAGCATATGCTTTCATATGGTTGTTGGCAATACATGTTCCTATTCACTCGCCTCCAAATATAAAGAATATAAGGAAATCCTTGTCCTAAAAAAAGAAAATATTTTATATTTTCAGTTTGTGATTCGATTGCTAGGATGATATCATGAATGAGATCAGATGAGATTTGTATAAAACTAAATAATCCTCATGAAAATATGGTCCCTCACATTGCACGGCACTCTTCCGGAAGGTGATACGCCACGAATCTGGCATACAGGGAGCGCATTCAGCCGTGTGGAGACGAGCTCCATCCGAGAACCCTTTCGGATGTTCACAACGGAAAATGACGATCACTCCTGCTTCTGCTGGATATTCTCCGCTCCATCCCTCGAAGGACACCTTCGCGTTCTCGATCATCGGATACTCTCTCAGACATAAATCTATCAATTTCGACGAGAGTCATGTTCATGCCTTCAAACCGTTCGAGATATAAGTGGGAAGCTTTCGACTCACTCTGGACGTAGGACAGGTATCCATTGGCTTCAACCAGCTTGCTCTTCCCGTTGAGAATCAATTGGCACGAACCATCTGTCTCCCGATAGTTGAAGGCGGGGCAGGCACTCGGTTCCTGCAGCACACAATTTACGGTGCAAGATCCGAGACTGGGCTCCTGAGATTCTGACGTCACATTCGCGTATCTTTGCCCAGGATGCACGCGGAAATAGGGGATCAAATCGACGGAGGCGACGTCCCGTGACAAGAGTATGAACACAAGGATGATCTTAAGTTTCTCTGCCCAGGATCTACGAGGTTTCATCCTTGCGGCTGGGTCCTCGGGAAGGCCAGGGATGACTTGGGTGGGAGGCGAGTGGTACGGTATTGAACCTTTGCTTGACTGCTTCGACGTCAACAGCGACCTTTAGGCCGAGAAACGCGGTCTTTTTTTCTTTACTTAGCCCGTTTTGAAGGAAATACGAGAGAAGTTGATTGATGACTTTCCCTCTCAATCAATATTGCTAGAATGCAACGCAGTTCCTGGAAACGTCTCTGATTCAACTTCTTGCTACGCTTGGATACTGAGCTGGACTGCAACATTCTGCGTCTCATTTTAACCTCGCCCTCTAAACCCTAATTTCTCTAATTCCTAATTCTGTAGAAGAGTGAAGAGGGGGTTTGGCTTTATGTATTCTCCTGGTATGCACGATTTGAAAGATCAGATAGGAAAGAGGAAGAAAGCGTACGAGTAGGTGGTTAACTTTCACCAAATCAATTTCATTAGCGTTCCTGTGCATTCAATTCCACAAATACAATGTAAAATTTGAAATTGGATCCAAATTTTTAAATCCTACGTATCTCTCAACCCATAATGGCCCGCCCTGGGGCGATTATATTGTTTCATCCTCCCAGAAACTACCTGTTTTCATGGGCCAAGTTACGGTAGGAATGCCTCTTCAGTGATGAAATGTGGGTGTGCATAGCCCCATGGAATGGGACATGCCATTTCATGCCTTGGGTCAAACGGCTGCGCAAAGTCGAACGGATGCGCTCTGTTACTGGAATACAGAATTTCTCCCTTTCAATCCGTTACCAGTACAGCCGGCCTTATCTACACTAGTGACTAACTTTTGCAGGATCTGTTCGAACATTCTGCAACCCCTTTTTCTTTTCGTAAGAGAAAGGCAAACATTCTAGGAATCAAAAGATTTATTTTTCTGGAGAATGAGTGAAGTTTCAAAACACGAACACAACTAAGCTGGGATTAAAATTTTAACAGCATTAAATACAACAATAGCGAAAAAAAGCGAAAACAAACACCAAAAGAATAACCAGAAATTGTTCGATCAAATTTGCGGAAAGGGAGGTGGGCTTGAGCTAGCTGGATCATCCGAATTATCAACCTCAGACTCGAGAATTTCTTGAGATCCTTGCATGGTTATGTTTCAGATGCGGTTTATTTTGCAACTCCTTTCATTTTCCTTTCGTCAAACAATGAATTTGCAACGTTAAACCGAACTTGCGTCCAGGGGCCGTATTCAATATATTTCTTAAAAGTACCTAATGTACCTAACCCTAAAAGTACCTAACCCTGCTAATGTGTCTGGTAAGGTGAGCTGGGTACTCAACTCAGTCATTCAATATCCGTCTTATTACACTGCTTATCCTAGCAGAGCGTTAAGGGACGCCAAGCAAGCGTTACATCCTGGAACGACCCTCTTCCATCTGTCAGTATGGCAGCCTTCAAACGAAAAGCGAATATCAGCCTACAAGAGCAAATGGCTTTGTGATGGGTGCATGCCCATGCCAAACGGTCTTGGTATGCATTTCAATATTGATCTTTATTCAGGTGTTCTTCAATGAAGACATTCAAAGAGTCATGAAGTCCCCAGACCTTTTGTGATGGACAACAAATGCAATGCTGATGGTGCTTGCCCACGCAGGAGTCGTACAGACCTCTGAATGTTGGCAATGGAGCCTCAATTTCCCCTGTCCAAATATTACCTTCGCCATAGTCGTCCTATATGCTCCATTATGTCGCACTCGTTGGCGAAAGCGAAAGCCGCTTTCCGCAAGAGAGAAACCAGAGTCATCTCTATTTCGTAATTTGCCAGACAAGGCTATAGGTCCAGGTACTGGTCCAGGTACTCCTGGGTACTCCAGGTACCCCAGCACATTGGGGTCCATGAGGACCCAATGGACCTGTAGCACCTGCGGCGGTCGGTGGCCCGTCTGTATTGAGCATGTACACTAGAGTATACGTGACAACGTTTGCGTGCACTGCAAATAACTTACCTTACCCATGTTATTGAATAAATTAAGCTCATTAACTGAATACAGACGATCACATCAATCACACCAGGGAATTGACCAAAGACATCCCTTTCTGGTGCCATCTGACCATCATCTCTTTCACCAAATGTGAAACCTTGCTCTCCTAGCAACTGCAACCTTCCAAAATATCCTATTTGCAGACGTTTGAAAGATCCTGTAACGAAGTACTGTGAACCAACTCAAATTTGAAAAACATGGATTATGCGGTGATTTCCAGGAGCAACTGCTTCTATGTCCTCTTGAAGGCCAGTGAGGAAAAGAATCCTGCGCGTCTCGAATCGGTAACGCTTGTACAAATAGGAGCCGTGATGAGCATCAAATGGGTTCCTAGTCGGCACAGTTACGTTGTGCCAAAGTTGAGAACAGGTTGAAACGTTGAAACATGGTTAAAGTTGAGAATCCGACGAAGAATTGACATCAATGAAATGCTAGCTGTTCGTAATTAACAGCAATTTGAAGCACACTGTGAGATGAGCACCTAATCGGTAATTATCGGTAATTCCCGTTTAAGAAAAAGGGTAGTATATACTAAACGCTCATCACTGTTATAAGCCGTTTATGAAAATTAATGCTTATCGGTCGTAAAGTAACTACGAGATTCTTCGTCGGATATCCTTCCCTATTCAAGCGTGAGCGCTTCTGTTCCTTACAGGTGGGATTCCGCCGTTTTCACTCTCGGGAGTCACTCTTCTCGTGAGAGTGCCGATCAATGAGAGGACGGGCATCCGATTGATGAGTGGGATCGTGATCTCGATAAATACATGGGCGGAGTTCTCATCTCAGTGATGAAGTCATCCTTCGCTTTGGGATGAAAGAGGTCTCTAAGAGTAATGGACGGGGATATTTTAAACGTCCCAGAGGAATGGTCTGTATCGGAACCCCAAATTAGGGAGTGGGGGATGTGTAGCAGGTCTCTCTCACCCGTTGTAATGTTGGGAATGGCATGGAGGAGGACCATGAAACGTCTTAAGTTAGGTGCTATAGTGGTAGCACACTTGTCCGGTAAGAATTGATAGGAGATACCCGGGTTCGATTTCCGCCCTCGCAATTGTTTTCTTTCATCCTATTAGATCATCCGAATTCTTCTTCCTCCCAAAACCGGGCAATTACGTTCTCGGGAAAAAAGTGCGACCCTGGGAGAGAGACATACACCCGGTGGCCAGCACAAAGTGCACATGCACAGATGGATTTATTTCTCCTGAAAATGTGTGCCCCTAGGGCATGCAACTCCAAATTCCGATTTTTCTTAACTCTGCATCCCAATTGCAATTTGTGCATCAAGTTTCAGATTTCTAACTTCTCTAGAACATGGTTAGAATAAGCATCAGCACTCAGTCTATCATGGATTGACTGTGTTGGGGTCAACGCCGACCATGGTGGTCGGCAAACATTGATTTTCATTTTCTATTCCGCAATAGCCGTTCCGATGAATATTTAAATGAAGTTGATTAATGGGTTTTCCGTGTCTAATTTATGGTCCTTAGAAGTGACGCGAGGGGGCAAATTCACTCTCTTACCGTGCACGCATTTCTTACGAACCTGGTCCTCAATCTCTTTCCTTGTTTTCTTCTTCCTGTTATTTCAAGATTGAACCCACTCTCAGTGCATGTTGCAGTGTTGGATGAGATCCTAGATTATTGCTTTGTGTTCACACGGTCTTGGCAATAAGATACATTGGGAAACCATATAGGAGGTCGCTTTTTCGGCAACCCTGCAAAGGCAATAGAGTTAGCAGAAACTCAAGGTTTCCCATATCTATTGCCTGCAGCATAAAAACATGACGAGAATAATAGTTGAGATAGGATACCCACCGGCCATTGACCCACATTAAATTGATTGAATGACCCACAGCCGCCTTGGCGTAAACTTCTTTTCATTCAAAATTTTCTTTAAGAAATTCCTTCGAAATGCATGTTTTTCCTTTTTTTTCTCGTCAAATTCCTTTAAGCTTGGGGTTCGACTTCGGGAATTTCTACCATGAGTGAACGTCATGTTGGCTAGGTCCTCATTCCCCTTCTTCCGACTGTTGTCTCTCTGTCTTTAAAACATTCACCACAGCTTGGAATTTCATTGCGAGAGAAATGCGCAATCCCAAGGGTTGAAATAAATGATCAAAATTGAGGAAGCCAAGCCAAATCAAACAAATCCATTCCCAGTGCATATTGAAAAATGCTGAAAGTGAAATAAAGTCGGCGATTTGGAACACAGCACGTGTGAAAGATGTGGAGCATTTAGTTGAGATCGTATCCACTGAATTTCACAATTAGTTTCGATCAACGAAATGTATGATCCAAAATATGAAGTGAAAAGTGCGTATCGATTCAATTGCTCACACTGCCCTCAAAAACGCGAAGTCGTGCTCACGTGTTATAACTGATATAAGATCTGCGATTTGTATGGCAGTCAAGAAGAGCAAGTGTCTTGGCATGATCGAGGCGGAGCTCGACCGTGAAGGGAAATCTAACAAACGCAAGGCGAATTCTTGTTTCGGAAAATAATGAGAGCATTCTTTCGTGCGTGAACGGTAAGCCTAGCAGAGTGAAAATTATATACTTGCTTACGTGTAATGTCTTATGGGCAGGTGGGGATGTCGCAAAAATCACGTCCTTTCCCACTGCTCTTGAAACACCAAGGACCGTTTTCGTCTTCCGTAGGGTTCCGACAGAAATTGTGCCCTGGGTGCATGTCGTCCAATATGGTGTAGGCATTCAAAGTTACTGCATCAGTAATTATAACACTATACGCTTCACTTATCTCATAAGTCTGAAGTCCATAGAAAGGATCTTCTCTCGTCAATGATGTGGCAAGCATCCACGGGAGGCATTTGTGCCCCTTGTGGGTCACATTCTTCGTTCCAATGTATGCCTTCCCCTTCAAGTCCGTCTTGCATTCAAGTGGGCCTGGAAAGCAACATGCAGGAGGAGTTGAACATGTTCGTAGAGTGAGGTAGGGTAAAGGCTTCAGTTCGTGGGCGGGTTTAGGAAATGTTCATATTGGAAATTGTGCTACGGTCTTTGGAGTCATCGAAGAACTGCGCATTTGGTTTCATTATTAGTTCACTTTTCAAAGTTATATGTCTTAATTCTCAAAACGAGTATTGGACTTTCAAACTGTTTCTATTTGTGGACGATCTGGTTCCAATTCTTGAAAGTTCACGGACCCAGTTTGCAAACGACAACATTTTTCTTACAATCAGCGGAATGAAAGGGGACTTCAATGGTTATAGCCGGTCACCTTTTACACGTTCCCGTGCCTATTAACCATCTAGGCAAAGACCATGGGTATCAAATTTGAATAAGCGGCGGGTCAGATGGAACCCTCCAATGGTGGTTTGGTCCACATGAGCAAACCTTACACCATTACACTTACAATGTACTTTTTAAACTCCCCCTGTAGGTCTTCACAGTTAAGTATATGGAATGAGAAATATACGCTGGATTACACAAGATCAGAAGAATGGGGTGGGTGAAACGAGGTACTTGCAAAACTTTCTTCACTCACTGACACATTGGCCTCCGACTCGAACATCGCATTTTTCCCTGTCAGGGGTAGGACAGAATGGAACGTCACAATAGCCCCATTCGCCCTCGAGGCTGGTGTAACAATAAGGGCCGTAATCCCTTACTTCGGGGTTGCGGCAAAACCCATGTCTTCCATCTACTTCATCTGGAATCCTGAGGATCAGCCCATTATACAGGAACGAAGAAGGGATCATGAGCCAAGGTAGACAGGGGACCCCGGACATCGTCACGTTTTGTTTTCCCACATACTCCGCTCCTCGCTCTGTGAGTTTGCATTCAGGTGGATCTGGGAAACGAAGATTATTTGACGAAAATTTTCGAGGNGATCCTAGATTATTGCTTTGTGTTCACACGGTCTTGGCAATAAGATACATTGGGAAACCATATAGGAGGTCGCTTTTTCGGCAACCCTGCAAAGGCAATAGAGTTAGCAGAAACTCAAGGTTTCCCATATCTATTGCCTGCAGCATAAAAACATGACGAGAATAATAGTTGAGATAGGATACCCACCGGCCATTGACCCACATTAAATTGATTGAATGACCCACAGCCGCCTTGGCGTAAACTTCTTTTCATTCAAAATTTTCTTTAAGAAATTCCTTCGAAATGCATGTTTTTCCTTTTTTTTCTCGTCAAATTCCTTTAAGCTTGGGGTTCGACTTCGGGAATTTCTACCATGAGTGAACGTCATGTTGGCTAGGTCCTCATTCCCCTTCTTCCGACTGTTGTCTCTCTGTCTTTAAAACATTCACCACAGCTTGGAATTTCATTGCGAGAGAAATGCGCAATCCCAAGGGTTGAAATAAATGATCAAAATTGAGGAAGCCAAGCCAAATCAAACAAATCCATTCCCAGTGCATATTGAAAAATGCTGAAAGTGAAATAAAGTCGGCGATTTGGAACACAGCACGTGTGAAAGATGTGGAGCATTTAGTTGAGATCGTATCCACTGAATTTCACAATTAGTTTCGATCAACGAAATGTATGATCCAAAATATGAAGTGAAAAGTGCGTATCGATTCAATTGCTCACACTGCCCTCAAAAACGCGAAGTCATGCTCACGTGTTATAACTGATATAAGATCTGCGATTTGTATGGCAGTCAAGAAGAGCAAGTGTCTTGGCATGATCCAGGCGGAGCTCGACCGTGAAGGGAAATCTAACAAACGCAAGGCGAATTCTTGTTTCGGAAAATAATGAGAGCATTCTTTCGTGCGTGAATGGTAAGCCTAGCAGAGTGAAAATGATATACATGCTTACGTGTAATGTCTTATGGGCAGATGGGGATATCGCAAAAATCACGTCCTTTCCCATCGCTCTTGAAACATGAAGGACCATTTTGGTCTTCCGTAGGGTTTCAACAGAAATTGTGCCCTGGGTGCATGTCGTCCAATATGGTGTAGGCATTCAAAGTTACTGCATCAGTAATTATAACATTATGCGCTTCACTTATCTCATAAGTCTGAAGTCCATAGAAAGGATCTTCTCTCGCCAATGATGTGGCAAGCATCCACGGGAGGCATTTGTGCCCCTTGTGGGTCACATTCTTCGTTCCAATGTATGCCTTTCCCTTCAAGTCCGTCTTGCATTCAAGTGGGCCTGGAAAGCAACATACAGGAGGAGTTGGAAATGTTCGTAGAGAGAGGTACGGTAAAGGCTTCAGTTCGTGGGCGGGTTTAGGAAATGTTCATATTGGAAATTCTACTACGGTCTTTGGAGTCATTGCAGAACTGCGCATTTGATTTCATTATTAGTTCACTTTTCAAAGTTATATGTCTATATTGTCAAAACGTATATTCAAACTGTTGCTATTTGTGGACGACCTGGTTCTAATTCTTGAAAATTCATAGTATATAAACCGCAATATTATTTTACGATCAACGGAATGAAAGGGGACTTGAATGGTTATAGCCGGTCACCTTTTACACGTTCCCGTGCGTATTAACCACGTAGTTTCTCTCTGTTCGGTATTCTGGTTGTATCCATCATACAAGATCTTATTGATTTCTGTGTCTTTCTTCTCTTTATCAACATTATCTTCCCAATATATAATCTTTCGGACTATGCTCATCTCCGTATCAATAATCATGGAATAATTTTGTCCTGGTACTTGGATGGGGGTTTTTGAATCAAAGTCTTCGCATGTTTCCTCCAACAACCCTATTCCCATACAAATGCTAATTATATGCATTTCAGTAAAATACTTCCTCCAATTTATAGGAATGTTCTTCCTCCAATATGTTTTTATTTCCCTTTTCTCTTACAAAACCTAAACCCCACATATAATCTCGGAAACGTTAGTTTGCTGTTCTTGTATAAAAGGACTAGACTGAACGAACTGAGGTCTTGGCAGAAGGGTATGTTGCAGTATTCCCACTGCGTGTCAATGTCGGAGACGAAGCACCATGGTTGCTCCAGCTCCACACCTGGATTTCTGTAGTGGTTGTGGTTAATGTTGTGTCCCGGAAGCCTGAAGGGATCCGTAAAATATTGAAGGTACTGAAACCCTCTTGGTTTCCGAAGGGGTTCAGTATGGTTGTCGATGCCATGGTAGACAACAATTTCCAGTTTCAGTTTCTTAATTTTTTCGACTCCCCACGTATTCCCTTCCCTTTTCTGACAGTCAGCATTCAGGATATTTGCCTGTCCTGGCTTCAGGTATTCATTACTTAAAATGGACAGTCCCATATTTTTTTCTTCATGGGAAATTATTACACAAGTACAACCTGACGTACTTTTTATTGTTACTATCTACCTGTAAGAAAGAAGTATGAGGACATGAGTATTTAATAATTCAACCCGGATAGGCCTCATTGCCCAGAATGGGAGCAACAGAAATATCATTCATTTTGTTGATGGTTCGATTTCTTGTTAAAATTACCACGACATCGCTCTGCTGAGGATGGATCGATAGGTGCCTGTTCGGTTCATCATTTCCCAGGTTACACTTTCGGTTACACTTTTTGTTACCTTCTTATCTTCGTTCTGCCAGTTCAAGATTGATTAAACTCTTTACGTGTTGCATAATGAGATGGGTACCTAAATTATTTATTTTGTTTCGCTCACGCCATCTTGGCAATAAGATACAATGTGAGATAATATCGGAGGACTCTTTTTGTCAACCCTCCGCAGGCAGTGGAATTAACAGAAGCTCACGGTTCCACATGTTTACTGACTGCAGGATCAGAACGTCACGATAATAATATTTGAGAAAGTAAACCCATTGACCATATTTTCACTTTAAAAACTGGACTAATGCGTGGTGCTAAGTATTAGCCTGTCGTGGCAGCAGCTCCATCGATGTAGATGTCGAAAACGAATTTCCAGTTCGAATCATTTTCAAAATAATAGTTCTCCAGGTATCGAGAGAATTCTGCGCCTGTCGTTCGAATCGGTATGTCTGAAACCATCATCTCTTCAAGTGTCAGTCCTTTGTCCATAGTGCATGAATGCAATAAAAATTGCCGCCTTGGAAATGTCTGTGGATTCGTCCACCCCACTAAAAATCACTTTTTTGTGTCTTTCGAAAAGTTGATATTCGATATCACCCTTCATGCAAACAAACACGTTAGTATAGATAGTTACATTGACTTACTCAACAACTGAGTATTGATTGCATACTTTTCCAGCAATTGGTATTTAATTGACCACATGTGGATCTTCACGCAGTTCCTATTTGTGAACGACCTGGTTCCACTTTTGGACACTCATGGACCGAGTTTCTGGACGACACCAGCTTTTTGACGATAATGAACATCGATTGACCATTTAAGAAGATATAATCATGAGATGTGAGCAGTAGTTTTATTCATCGTCACCGGGGCGAAAATACAAGGAAAATCATTCATTCCTCGCCAATTTTTTGGCAATCAATAAAATCACCAATCAGCTCTGCCCATGTTGGCGAAGTCAAACCAAAAACAATTGAAAATCGTAGCGTGTTGTCTGATTATGTCCACAAGACCTTGATTCGATCGATAAAAAAAAATTGATTTCGTTAATCCAGGCGAAAAAGTTCTATTTGTCGCCAAAATCCTATCCTTTCGGATGGTTTCCGTCTTCCACATTGAAATAACAGGCCTTAGCTTAGTGAATAATTCAATACATACTTCTTGTGAATGGCAAATAGGATTTTTCAGAGCACGAATTTCGAAAATTGTCACTGCATGGGACGCATGTCATGGAAATAATGTTGCATACGTTATAAGAGATTGTGGACTTCTTGTGTGCCTTGCGCAAATGCATTTAAATGGTGGTGTAAGTCTAAGGGTCGGGTCTCTCAATGGAAAACCCGTTCTTCGTGTCCATATCATTACATTAACCGCACTTTCAAACGCTCACAGCCATTTCGGTGAATTTCATCGCGCGGGAAATGCGCAACATACGATGAAAACATACGATAAAAAATGAAGTAGCCCAAGCCCAATCAAACAACTCCATTCCCAGTGCATATTACGTAAGGGTGAATTTCATATAAAGTCGGATATTTGTAACACAAAACGTATGGAAATATGTGGTGCATTCGGCAGTGATCGAATCCCTTCAACTTCGCAGTCGAATAGCTTCGATCAATAAATGTATGACCCAAAAAATGAATTCAAAAGTGCATATCCACTCCCTCAAAAATACAAGGTCATGCCCACGTGTTACGACTGATATAATGACTGTGCTGCTTTACGGCCGTCAAGAAGACCGCCATTATGGAGACGGAGCTCGAAGGGAATAATAACCAGCTCAAAGGAAAAACCTGTTTAGGAAAAAAAAAAACACATGAGAGCATTCTTTCGTGGGTGAATGCTAAGCCTAGCGGAACAAAAATAATGCACTTGCTTCCGTGGAACGTCTTATTGACAGATGGGGATATCGCAAAAATCTCGTCCCATTCCATCGCTCTTGAAACATCAAGGACCATTTTCGTCTTCGATAGGGTTCCGACAGAAATTGTGGGTTGGGCGCATGTCGTCCCATATTTTGTAGGGTTTAGAAGATCCTGCATCAGTAATAAGAAGTACATTAATTTCACCTGTCTCATAAGTCCGACTCCCTTCGAAAGGATCTTGTGTCAGTGCTGATTCGCTCATCCACGGGACGCATGTGTGCCCCTTGTGGGTCACATTCTTCGTCCCAATATATGCCATCCCCTTCGCGTCCGTCTTGCATTCTAGTGGGCCTGGAAAGCAACAAACAAGAGTTCCAAGAGTTCGTATAGTGAGGTAGGGTAAAGGCGTTAGTTCGTGGACGGGTTGAAGAGATCTTTCATTGAAGTTGGACTGGAAGTGCCTGGTTCTATGAACTTTTTCACTCCCCTGTAGGCCTCGCAATTTTGTCTTTATCGTTCAATGTGTGGAATTTTGAAATATGCGCTGGATTACACATGATCAGAAAAATTGGAATATGAAACTTCGTTACTCACTGACACACTCCCCTCCGACTCGAACATCGCATTTTTCATTGTCAACGGTTGGACAGAATGGAACGTCGCAATATTCCCAATATTCATCTTCGAGGCTGGTGTAGCAATAAGGGCCGTAATCGTATTCTTCAGGGTTGCAGCAATACGCATGTCTTCCATCCACTTTATCTGGAATCCTGAGGATCATCTTATGCAACGGAAAAAAGGCGATCTTGAGCCAAGGTAGACAGGGGACCCCGGCTATCGTCACGTTTCTCTTTCCAACATACTCCCCTCCTCGTTCTGTGATTTTGCATTCAGGTGGATCTAGGAAACGAATATCGTGATTCAAAATGGTAATGGTAAATCAGAGACTACTCTTGATTATTGGCAACGCCGGTAAAATTCAGGAAGTCACACTATGGCAACTTCGTTTTCCCAATTTCCCTTTTAGATATCTCAGTTAATCTCCCGCTATTTATTTAACGACTTGACCTGTGCGTCACGAATGTTGGAGCGACGAAAATATTCATGTCTTCTCATCAGATTAGGGATAGAGTAAGCAAGATCTAAGTAGAGCAGTTGCGGGACCTTGCTTCTCCGTTTCCGTCCTCCGAGGTTCCTGAAGCATACGGTAGCCGGAAGCTGTAGTCTTTCCTCTTGAATCTCTCAATTTGATAATCTTGTATTAATCAGAAAATGTATTCTTGAATTTTGTGTCTCTCCCCTCTATATCAACGTTATCTATGCCAATTTATTATCCTTTAGACTATGTTTATCTCCGTACCTATAAAACTGCAAGAATAATGTCCTGGTACTTGGGTGGGGTTTTCAATGAAAGTCTTTGCATATTTTCTCCAACACCCCTTTTCCACACAAATGCTGATTAAATGCATTATTAAATGATTATTCCTCCCAATTTAAGGGTATGGAACGTTCTTTCTCCGTATGGTTTTCTCCATTTCCTCTTATAAAACTATAAAATTTAAACCCCACACATAATCTCAGAACCGTTAGTTTGCTGTTCTTGTAAAGTGAGACCAAAATGAACTTACTGAGGTCTTGGCAGAAGGGGATGTCGCAGTACTCCCACTGTATGTCAATATCGGGAACGAAGCACCATGGTCGCTCCCTGTCCACTCCTGGATTTCGGCAGTGGTTGTGGCGGATGTTGAGTTCCGCCCGTCGGAAGGGATGCGAGAAATGGTGATTGTACAGAGACCCTCTGGGGTAAAAATCCCAAGGGGTTCCGTATGGCTGAGGATGCCATGGTAGACAAGCCGTGCCAGTTTCTGTCTCGTTCTGGCTGCCCACATATTCCCTTCCCTTTTCTGACAGTCGGCATTCGGGATATACTCCCGTCCCGGCTTCAGGTATTTCATCTCCCAGGTCGCAGAACGGGATGTCGCAGAAAGCCCACTTGAACCCAACCGAATCTCTTTCCCGTAAATCCAGGTAGCACCAAGGAGCTGCGTTTGGATTAAGGTTATAAATGAAGGTTCCATTTTCCACATTTGGGTTTCTGCAGAAGTTGTGATCTTCGTCGACGCGATCGGGATCAGGGAAAGCCAAGAGGAGATTTTCAATATCTTCTTGGTTCCTCCAAGGCAAACAGGGCACTCCTTGGATTGTCACGTTCTTCGTTCCCATGTATTCCCCTCCCCATCGAGTCACTTTGCACTCCGGAGGGACTGGTGGCAAGAAAGAAGTCTGGTTTCGTTTGACATCTATCCAAAGAAACTCATTGACTTGGCCTCGAATATCGAAAAGAATTTGTGATTGACCCGGTCATTCGTTGGAATTAGCTGTATGTAGCGTTTCTTCGACATATGTTGCAACAGGTGCGACGGAATTTACTGTATATTCCACGGTACTGGTGAGTGCACTTTCAGGTGCTAACTTTGTTTCTCTGTGCCACTGCCAGGAAGCAGTCGGACTTTAGATGAAAGTCCTATACAGACACGCTTTTGCAATGTTTACAAGTTCTCGAGAAACTACGCAAAGAACCGTCAATAATAATCGAATATTTCGCTGGCCTATCATGTATTTGCTCAATTCCCCTCCTCCCATGAAACTGCGTAAAAAGGAACTTTACCTGCGTCAGTGCAAAAAGGGATGTTGCAGTATTCCCAATGGATATCAGGATCGAAAAGAAAGCACCAGGGTCTCGCCCTCCCAGATGGATTTCGGCAGTAGTTGCGGTGAGACCCAGAGTCTCGATTAAGAAAGTGGCCCTCATACAATACGTCGATTGCCGGCATTCCAGGAGTTTCAGAAATCGGGTCCTTGTCATAATAAAACATTTCAAAGGGGTTAGGCTTGTCATGTATTATTAATGGGATGTCCGAGAAGTCATCCGGTCTTCCGTAGGGATAGTCTCTCCAGAAAAGGCACTTCCTGCCCGATTCCGTCACGCTGATTCCTCCTACGTATTCCTTGCCCTTTTCTGTCAGACGACATTCTGGATACAAATGCACGTCCTCACCTGCCAGTAACAAAATCCAACAATTGAGTGACGATGACCAACAGAGAGTTGAGGTGATACCCTAAGTGCGAGTTAAAAGCGAAAACTTGAAATGTTATATTTTCATCAATCTCATCCCCACAACGTATCAATCAGAAATATTGTGGATCCAAGTTGCACGATCAGCTGCAGCAAAATGTCAAATTTTGGTGCTCATCTTCAATTTTATTCAAGAATGTAAGAAAAACCTTGTTTTAAGGAAAAGAAAGTATAACAGCTTTCAATTCGACTGCTAGAAGGACATCATGAAAGAGATGAGATGAGATTTGTATAAAAAAAATCAGTTCTCATGAAGAAATAGTTTGTCTTGCCCTCACATTGCACCGCACTCTTCCGGAAGGAGATACGCCAAGAATCTGGCATGAAGAAAGCGCATTGAGCAGTGTGGAGATGAGCTCCATCCGAGAACCCATTCGGATGTTCACAACGGAATATAACGTTCAATCCTGCTGGTGCTGGATATTCTCCGCTCCATCTCTCGAAGGACACCTTCGCGTTCTCGATCATCGGATACTCTCTCAGACATAAATCTATCAATTTCGACGAGAGTCATGTTCATGTCTTCAAACCGGTCGAGATGAAAGTGGGAAGCATTCGACTCACTCTGGACGTAGGACAGGTATCCATTGCTTCAATAAGCTTGCTCTTCCCGTTGAGAATCAACTGGCACGAACCATCTGTCTCCCTATAGTTGAAGGCGGAGCAGGCACTCGGTTCCTGCAGCACACAATTTACGGTGCAAGATCCGAGACTGAGCTCCTGAGATTCTGACGTCACATTCTCGTATCTATGCCCAGGATGCACGCGGAAATAGGGGATCAAATCGACGGAAGCGACATCCCGTGACAAAAGTATGAACACAATTATGATCTTGAGTTTCTCTGCCGAGGATCTATGAGATTCCATCCTTGCAGCTGGGTCCTCGGGAAGGCCAGGGATGACTAGGATAGGAGGCGTTTGGGTACGGTATTGAACCTTTACTTGACTGCGTCGACGTCAACAGCGACCTTTCGGCCGAGAAACGCAGTCTCTTTTTCTTTACTGAGGCTGTTTTGAAGGAAATAGGAGAGAAGTTGATTGATGACTTTTCCTCTCAATCAATATTGCTTGAATGCAACGCAGTACCTGGAAACGGCTCTGATTTAACTTCGTACTACGTCTGGATACTGACCTGGACGGCAACTTCCTGCGTCTCATTTTAACCTCTCCCTCTAAGCCCTAATTTCTGTCATTCCGAATTCTGTAGAAACGTGGAGAAAGGGTTTAGCATTATGTAGTCACTTGGAAAGCACGATTTAAAGGAGGAGATAGGAAATAGGGAGAAAGAGTGGGTGGTTAACTCTCGCGAAATCAATTTCATTAGCGTTCCTGTGCGTTCAGTTCAACAAATACAATTTAAAATTTAAAATATTGGATGTAAATTTTTTAATCTTGCGTGTCCCTTAACCCATAACTTTTGCAAACGCAGATGAAGTCCATTGAATGAAAATCTATGTTATTGAACCGAATCCCATGTGATTGAATAAATTCAGCTCATTAACTGAATACCGACGATCACATCAATCACACCTGGGAATTGACCAAAGGCATCCCATTCTTGTGTCTTCTGACCATCATATCTTTCACAAAATGTTAAACCTTGCTCTCCTAGCAACTGCAACCTTCGAAAATATCCTACTTACAGAAGTTTGAAAAAATCCTGTAACAAATTGGAATTACATTGATTATGTATTGATTTCAAGGGGAGCAATTGCTTCTATGTCCTTTGAAGGCCAGTGAGTCAAAGAATGCTGCTCATGTCGAACCGGTAACGATTGTACAAGTCGGAGCCGTGATAAGCATCAAGCGGGTTCCCAGTCGACACAGTCACGTTGTGCCAACGTTGAGGACAGGTTGAAACGTTGAAACTTGGTTAAAGTTAAGAATCCGACGAAGAATCGACATCAATCAAAGATTGACTATTCGTAAGTAACAGCAATTTGCAGCACACTGTGGCTACTCGCGGATTAGCGAAGTCGTTTAGTGCCTATTAAGCGCAAATTCGTATTTCTTCATATATGATTTCCGAGTAGTCACAATATGCTGTAAACACTGTTAATTACGAATAGCCACCATTTCATTGATGCTGATTCTTCGTCGTATATCCTATTCTATCCAAGCGTGAGAGCTTCTGTTCTTCACAGGTGGGATCCCGCCGTTTTCACCCTGGCTAGTCACTCTCACGTGAGAATGGCGATCAATAAGAGAACGGGGTTCCGATTGATAAGTGGGGTCAGGATCTCCATGAATGTATGTGCGGAGATCTCATCCCCGTGATGAAGTCATCCTTCCCGTTGGGATGAAAAGGGACTCTAAGAATGATGGACGGGGACAGTTAAAACGTCCCTGTGGAATGGTCTGTATAGGGTCCCTAAATCAAGTAGCGGGGGATGTGCAGCATGTCCCTCTCACACGTTGTAATGTAGGGAATGACATGGAGAAGGACCAAGAAACGTATTAAGTTCGGTGCTATAGTGGTAGCACACATGGCCGGTAAGTATTAATACGTGGTCCCGGGTTCGATTTCCGACAATTTCTATTGCTTTCCTCCCTCCTATTAGGCGACCATGGTGGTCGACAAACATTGATTTTCATTTCCTATACCACGATAGCCCTTCTGATGAATATTTAAAGGAAGTTGATTAATGGGTTTTCCGTATCTAATTTATGGTCCTTTGAAGTGACGCGAGGGGGCAAATTCACTCTCTAACGGTGCACGCATTTCTTACGAACCTGGTCCTCAATCTCTTTCCTTGTTTCCTTCTTTCTGTGATTTCAAGATGGAACCCACTCTCAGTGCATGTTGATGAAGTGCTGGATGAGATCCTAGATGATTGCTTTAATTGTGTTCACACGGTCTTGGCAATAAGATACAATGTGAAACCGTCATTTGTGACTACCTTTGGGTAAGAAATACGTTTCGCATTTACAATACTCCATTTACGGGTCTCCTAAGCGGACAATAAATGCTTTCCTTAAAAACCTGACTAATGCGTGGTATTTTGGTAGTAGTCAGTCGTGGCATCCGCTCCATCGGTGTAAACGCAGAAAGCGCACTTATGTTACAAATTTTTTCTCACAGTTTTGCTGTGGAGGAAACGGGAGATCTCTTGCGCCTGTCGGTCGAATTTGTATTCTTGAAAGGATCATGACATCTTCGAAAGGTAAGCCCGAAGCACATAGTGCAAGAAAGTAATACAAATCGCTGGATTGGAAATGTGTGTTGAAATGTCTGTCCTACTGCAATGCACACCACTTTGATGAATTTGACACTACTTTCAATGAGTCTTTGCAATAGCTGATATTCAATATCATCAAAGATACTGTCAATGCAGCGAGCCACAATATCAATAGACACGTACTTGTCATTGAATTTCTTGGACGCTTCCTCAACGGGAACTTCTCTGCGGGCGTACATGATGGCGGGTTTTACGAGCTCTTCGATAGTTGTGAATGGTTTCTTGCCTTTTGGGATTATGTGGGTTATCTGGAATTAGGCACGTAGAGCAGCAGCGTTGATGTTAGTTGCAGCCAACATGCTTCTGTTGCACCTTCGTTTCACTTCGTCTACGCTCGAAGAATTCGACTGGCTAATCCTTCACAGATGCGTGTTCTATTTGCAGAGGACATTTCAATTGGATATTTTACATTTCTTCGTTGTTAGGAGTTTCACCACTAATAACACACAATGGAAGAAGCGCTTCGTCAATACCAGGTAATGTCTTATGGACAGATGGGGATATCGCAAAAATCACGTCCTTTCCCATCGATCTTGAAACACCAAGGACCATTTCCGTCTTCCGTAGGGTTCCGACAGAAATTGTGCCTTGGATCCATGTCGTCCAATGTGCTGTAGGCATTCAAAGTTACTGTATCAGTAATTATAACACTATACGCTTCACTTATCTCATAAGTCTGAAGCCCATAGAAAGGATCTTCTCTCGCCAATGATGTAGCAAGCATCCACGGGAAGCATTGGTGTCCCTTGCGGGTCACATTCTTCGTTCCGATGTATGCCTTCCCCTTCAAGTCCGTCTTGCATTCAAGTGGGCCTGGAAAGCAACATACAGGAGGAGTTGGAAATGTTCGTAGAGAGAGGTACGGTAAAGGCTTCAGTTCGTGGGCGGGTTTAGGAACTGTTCATATTGGAAATTGCACTACGGTCTTTGGAGTCATCGTAGAACTGCGCATTTGATTTCATTATTAGTTCACTTTTCAAAATTTGTATTTATTTTCAAAACGAGTATTGGATTTTCAAACTGTTGCTATTTGTGGACGACCTGGTTACAGTTCTTGAAAATTCACGGTCCCAGTTTGTTAACGACAGCATTTTTTTTTACAATCAGCGGTTGAGAGGGGACTTGAATGGTTATAGCCGGTCACCATTTACACGTTTCCGTGCGTATTAACCATCTAGGCAAACGCCATGGGTGTCAAATTGGAATAAGCTGCGGGTCAGATTGAACCCTCCAATGGTGGTTGGGTCCACATGAGCAAAACTTACACCATTACACTTACAATGTACTTTTTCAACTCCCCCTGTAGGTCATCATAGTTAAGTATACGGAATGAGAAATATACGCTGGATTACACAAGATCAGAAGAATGGGGTGGGTGAAACGAGATACTTGCAAAACTTTCGTTACTCACTGACACATTGGCCTCCTACTCGAACATCACATTTTTCCCTGTCAGCGGTAGGACAGAATGGAACGTCGCAATACCCCCATTCGCCCTCGAGGCTGGTGTAACAATAAGGGCCATAATCCCTTACTTCGGGGTTGCGGCAAAACCCATGTCTTCCATCTACTTCATCTGGAATCCTGAGGATCAGCCCATTAATCAGGAACGAAGAAGGGATCATGAGCCAAGGTAGACAGGGGACCCCGGACATCGTCACGTTTTGTTTTCCCACATACTCCGCTCCTCGCTCTGTGAGTTTGCATTCAGGTGGATCTGGGAAACGAAGATTATTTGACGAAAATTTTCGAGGCGAATCGGATACTACTTTTAGTCATCTGAAAAGCCGATTTTCAGATGTTTAATCTGTGGAGCGACGACAAGGATCATGTTCTTTCATCAGATTATGTATATATTCATCAAGGTCCTTATAGGTTACTTGTGGAACCTTGCTTCCCCGGTTCCGTAGTTTCAAAAGAAGGCTGCTACCGGATATGGTCGTCGTTCCTCTAGTTTCTCTCTATTCGGTATTCTGGTTGTATCCATCATACAAGATCTTATTGAATTCTGTGTCTTTCTCCTCTTTATCAACATTATCTTACCAATCTATAATCTTTCAGACCGTGCTCATCTCCGTATCAATAATCCTGGAATTATTGTGTCCTGGTACTTGGATGGGGGTTATTGAATCAAAGTCTTTGCATGTTTTCTCCAACACCCCTATTACCACAAAAAGACCGATCATATATGCATTTCAGTCAAATACTTCCTCCAATTTATAGGAACGTTCTGATTTTTCCATTTTTCTCTTATAAAACCTAAACCCCACAAATAATCTCAAAAACATTAGTTTGCTGTTCTTGTATAAAAAGGACCAGACTGAACGAACTGAGGTCTTGGCAGAAGGGTATGTTGCAGTATTCCCACTGCGTGTCAATGTCGGAGACGAAGCACCATGGTTGCTCCCGCTCCAAACCGGGATTTCGGCAATTTTGTGGTCAATGTTGTGTTCCAGAAGCCTGAAGGGATCCGTAAAATATTGAATGTACAGAAGCCCTCTTGGGTAAAAATCCGAAGGGATTCCATATGGTTGTCGATGCCATGGTAGACAACCCGTTCCAGTTTCTGCATCTTTCCGGCTCCCCACGTATTCTCTTCCCTTTTCTGACAGTCGGCATTCCGGATATATGCCTGTCCTGGCTTCAGGTATTTCAGCTCCCAGGTCGCAGAATGGGATGTCGCAGAAAGCCCACGAAAACCCAATCGGATCTCTTTCCCCAAAATCAAGGTAACACCAAGGAGCAACATTTGCATTCAGGATAAACGCGATGAATTTGTCTTCCACATTTGGGTTTCGGCAGAAGTTGTGATCTTCGTCAACTCGATCGGGATCCGGGAATGCCAGGAGGAGATTTTCAACATCATCTTTGTTTCTCCAAGGCAGGCATGGCACACCTTGGATCGACACATTCTTGACGCCCATGTATTCCCCACCCCGTTGAGTCACCTTGCACTCCGGAGGGACTGGACAAAGAAGAAGTCCCGTTTCATTTGGCATCTATCCGAAGGAACTCATTGACTTAACATCAAATATCCGAGAATGATGAGAATGATCGAGCTCCTTGCCATTGGTCGTTTGTAGCCATTATTTGGTCTATGTTGGAAACTACACTTAAAAGCATTTGAGATTTGGTTGCACTAGGCCGTAGTTTTCAGCATCCACCATTCTCTACTCAATCATAATCTGATTTTGCGGCAGTTGTGGCAAGAAGAGGAGCACTATCATTATTCCCAAAACTAAAAACAGACCTAGTGGGAGCGGGATACGGAACCACCATAAACAAAGCCAAGTCACCTGGTTATTTTCAGCTCGTACGTGGTTTATTGACTCAACTTTCCCCGCAGAAGAAGGCGAAGGGACTTTATTGATGGACTTTCATTGCGATGGGTATATCCAGCAGTATAGACATGGGGACGAATTCAAGAGGCTCTTACAGATGGTTGCATTTTGCGTTCTGTATTGAAACAGAACATCGGTTAACCCCGAAAAGATATGCCATTTTAAAAAGCCTATATCCGCAATTTCCAATCGAGAAATGGAGGGAAATGGAGGGTTGCATGATTGCATGTATCTTTCGCCTTAGTTCACCTGAAAGAGTTTGAAAACGTGAAGATTGATCGCTGCAAAATTCTGTCGGAGATATGCCCTCCTCTCTCTTTAGTTGCTTATTGAGAAGCATATGCCAGATTGATACCGCATGGGAAAAAAGGAAAACTTCGGTTGCCTTCATCCGTCTACAGCACTGTTCCATAAGAGTTTTCAAAATTGCAATAGGGCCTCCGTATACAGTGGAACCTCGCTTAACGAGCATAATTTGTCTCCGAATCTTACTCGTAATGCGAAACACTCGTTAAGCGAATCACTCTGTTTGACTGTATATTCATATACAGAACAAATTATGCTCGTTAAGCGAGGTTCCACTGTATAACATTCCTTCAGCTCTCCAATGATGTCTACAGATTGAAGATTTGTGACACAACTCCCATGGAATTAAACAGAGTATGCGAAGTGGCACTGGATATGTGAGCAACGTCTCGGCCAAATAGCGAATGCGCTAGCGAGGGAATGGGCGTCACCTGGAACATATGTTGCAGGGTACTGGTAAGTGCAATATCCAAATGCTATCTCTGTTTCATTGTGCGTAACTGCATTGAAATGAAAATAGATCCTAAATATTTTGGATGCAGTGGCAAGCTGGATAAAAGTTCTACATAAAGATGCAGTTCCAAAATTTACAAACTCTCCAAAAACGACGCTGTGAGGCGTTATATATAACTGAATATTTTGTTTCCCTACTATGCATTTGCTCTATCCCTACTGCCCATGAAACTCCGTAAAAAAAAAAACTTCACCTGTGTCAGTGCAAAAAGGGATGTTGCAGTATTCCCACTGGATTTCAGAATCGGAAACGAAGCACCAGGGTCTCTCTCTCCCGGATGGATTCCGGCAGTAGTTGTGGTGAGACAAGGAGTCACGATTAAGGAAGTGGCCCTCATATACCTCATCTACTGTCGAGATTCCAGGAGGTTCAGGATTCGATACGGTGTCATAAAGCATGTTTTCCCCGAATCTAGGCACATCAGGTATTGGTAATGAGATGCCCGAGAAATCAACCGGTCTTCCGTAGGGATAGTCTCTCCAAAAGAGGCACTTCCTGCCCGATTCCGTCACGCTGATTCCTCCTACATATTCCTTGCCCTTTTCCGTCAAACGACATTCTGGATACAAATGCACTTCCTCACCTGGCAATAACGGAATCCAGCGATCGAATAACGAAGAGCAATAAAGAGTAGAGGAGATACTGCAAGTGCCGCATACGAGCGAAAACATGAAATGTTTTACATTATCATCCATGTCATCCCCACAGCATTTCAGTTCAAAATATTGTGGATGCAAGTGTGACGATCAACTGCAGCAAATTTCAAATTTTTTGGTGCTCATCTTCATTTTTATTTCAGATTTTTCACTTTTTCGTCAAAATTAAATACGTCTACTGGAAATATAGGATGACATAGCCTCACATTGCACTCCACCCATACGGAAGGAGATGCTCCAAGAATCTGGCATAAAGGGAGCGCATTCAGCCGTGTGGAGATGAGCTCCATCCAAGAACCCTTTCGGATGGTCACAACGGAAAATGACTTTCCCTCCTACTGGTGCTGGATATTCTCCGCTCCATCCCTCGAAGGACACCTTCGCATTCTCGATCATCGGATAATCTCTCAGACATAAATCTATCAATTTCGATGAGAGTCGTGTGCACGTCTTTTAACCTGTCGGGATGAAATTGCAAAGTATTCGACTCACTCTGGACGTAGGACAGGTATCCATTCGCTTCAACCAGCTTGCTCTTCCCGTTGAGAATTAACTGGCACGAACCATCTGTCCCCCGATAGTTGAAGGCGTAACAAGCACTCGGTTCCTGCAGCACACAATTTATGATGCAAGATCCGAAACTGAGCTCCTGAGATTCTGACGTCACATTCTCGTATCTCTGCCCAGGATGCACGGAGAAATAGGGGATCAAATCGACGGAGGCGACGTCCCGTGATAAGAGTATGAACACAAGGAAGATCTTGAGTTTTTCTGCCCAGGAACTACGAGATTCCATCCTTACAGCTGGGTCCTCGGGAAGGCCAGAGATGACATGATATGAGGCGAGTGCGTACGGTATTGAACTTTTGCTTCGCAGCATTGCCGTCAACAGCGCCCTTGCAGCCGAGAAACTCGGTATTTTTTTTATTTACTTAGACTTCTTTGGAAGAAATACAAGGGGAGTTGATGTATGAGATTCCCTTTCAATCGATACTGCTTGAAGGCTACACAGTACCTGGAAACGGCTCTGGTTTAGATTCATACCACGCCTCGATACTGAGCAGGATAGCAACATCCTACGACCCATTTCACCCTTTCCCTCTTCGCCCTCCTAATTCCATAGAAACATGAAACAAAGGAAACTTTTCCCTTAATTAAAGCGATTGCACTTGTCAATGGCATAACATTCCTAATTTAAAGTATTATTCACTGTTCTTTGGTTCACCGAAAATGCTTGACTAACATGTGAGAAACTTTTTTCCACCGAGACGCTGTTTACTAGGAACCTATGGTGTTTCCTACAAATGTAAGCAAATGCAGATAAATCATCCTAGAAATTTCACTAAATTTAGTTAATGAAGGAAATTTATCCAACAAAATAAAAGCGAGAGAATTCTACTCATTCTCACAGCAAGAAAACTCCCAGCTGGAACTAGGAGCTAAAAGAAGAAACTTCCGAAGTTCTGCTCTATAACCATTTTGGAACGAAGCTGGATTTTTCTGCAGAATAATAAAGCCGTTGACAAGTCCACTTCACACGTTGAGATATGCTTCCACTACTAAAATCTGATTCATGAGTGAAGATGTTTGATTTATTCAAATTTATTTCATGACAACGATAGAAAATCACATGTTAGGAAAATGGGTTAAGCACTTGCAGCACAAACCAATATTCAGTCGGAAAAATAAAGAAAAATGATGGAACTCGCACCAACTTCGGGAAAATGAAATCTAAAATGTTAAAAAATGAATTTCTGGAACAATAAAAGAAACCCTAAAAGTCAATGAGAAAGCTATTAACCTTCATATGCGAAAAAAAAACAATGTTCGTCCCATACAATAAATAAGCCATGTTAAGCACCAAAAGCGAACTTGGAGCCCACGACTTCGAATGTGCAACATTCTTCATCCTATATATGTGCATTTTCGGCCTTGAAAGAGAAAAATTGTCATATGAATCGTTCACTTCTCGTCTTATATTAATTATACGCGTGAAAGTAAATGCAACAACACTGGCATCCTTGATGTTTAAAAGAATTTGATCTCTTCCTTTCCAATAAAGGAAATTTGGAAGCAACAACGTTGCAATGCAATCAGTGCTACAAAGTGATAAAAAAAAGGGAAATTCGTGAACTGAGGGTATGATATCGATGCTTCCCATCATTTTGTTTGGTGGTCGATGACGATGAATGAAGAAGGTGCGTGGCTGGCGGCTGTCGACGGAGATCTGTCCAGGACCCCATTGTCATCCATCCTCTCGGAAGGGGTCTTGCGGGAATCTTTTCTTTCTACATCCGTGGATTTCTCCAGCAACTTGGAGGAGCAACATCCTATGAAGATCGTCCCGATGGAAGCTGAAATGAGGATGGCCATGACGACGATGGTGACTATGTCACGTCCCCATTCGATGAACTGGGGGTTTGGATCGGGCATGGCCTTGGCCGCGTCGAGTGCATAAGGACCGATTGCAGCTTGGACTGTGGCTTTGGGCATCCACGCAACCGCCGAAAAAAGTTTCTCTTTGGCGTTGAAATCACCTCCAAACAAAGAAACATAGGAAGCGCAACACCTAATGAAAAGACCACCGCAGATAACGATAAGCCCATATCCAATAGTTGTGGGTTTGATCTGAGCAAAGTCCATCTCAGTCCCGATGAGTCCGAAGAGTAGAGGCTGGAGAATCAACCAAAGATAATTGAAGTTTTGTGAGACTGGATTGTCGTCTTCGTAACCTTGCCGACGCCACCCTAAGCTGGCCACAAAAGCCATCGTCAGCACTCCCAAGGCACCACCTGAATGCATCTCGATTATGATGCTTCCAAAGTATGCTGCAATGCCACCGAACAATAACATCATGGAACGGATCTCGACAATTGCGAATTTATCTTTGCGATTCGGGACAAACCAAAGAATGATGCCAAAAATGGTTCCATATAGAAGCCCAACAATGACTTCGACAAATGGCATGAACATCTTGTTCATAATAGAACCTTCAGAGAAAGTCATGCCCAGAAATATGGCAAATATGGAGATAGCAAGGATGTCATCGATGGACGATGCAGCGATCAGCAACGTGGGGATACCTTTAGCGACACCGTACCCCTTCCTTTGAATGCTTAGCATGCAAGGAACGACAACAGCAGTACTTGAGGTTGCTAATGCGAAGCCCAACATGAAACCCCAGGTCCAAGGGAAGCCTAGCGCAAAGTACGAGATACAGGCAATTGTGACAGCCTCGACAGCGCAGGGAACGAACGCCAGTCGAATCACCGTCAGACTCAAACGCCTCAATTGCTCCGGATTCAGTTCAAGCCCAGCACATATGAAAATCACGATCAGGGCAAGGCCTCTAGTTTCCCCGGACCAATCTTGCCGGATCGGTTGAGTCATCCAACCCATCTGGCGCTCCAGGTTCCCCACGATCATGCCGACGAATAACATTCCAAGGAGTCCCGGGAAACTAATCATCTCCATCAGCCACCCACCAAGAAGGCAAGCGATGAACAGGATGTACATCTTGAAGAGATTTCCACCCGGGAGCATTTCCTGACCAGTGAGACAATATCCAGCCAGCCAGATGACTGGAATGGCCATGAGGAAGATGCACGCGCGTCCCAGGTTGACTCCAGGCGGGCAGAGGAGGTTGTGACGCAGACGATCCCATCGTGTCGCATCTGGAGGGAGGGCTCTGCTACGACGCAGGCAGCACTCATACCAATGAGAGGTTTTTTGGCTGTCATCTTGTTGACCTGGAGGTGGAATAGCTTCAGCCTGATCCTGCATCGGGTCGATGGGGCAGTTGTCAAAAATTGGATTCCGGCGCACTTAATACTGTGCTGGTAGCAATACACAATGCATCTTCAGGCACATGGAATATATATATATATTGGCTCTGCATCCAATTCAAAACAGTCCAAACAGATCAATCTGGAAAATAATAAAATCACGACTTCAACGTAGGCCTGTATGCTAATAAAAGTTCAAAGGTAGATATACCGTGAGAACCAGTGGTTATACAGGGCTTGGCAGAAAAGGACCAATAGCTTATAATAATTTACACATATTCTAAAATAAAACTATGCACTGAATAATTCTATGTTGATACAATTCACGAATTATAATAATGGCATACTTTTAAATAAAACTCTTCAAGAAAACCACTAATAAGTTGTTCGAACGTAA